CACCTCATATTAACCAAATGACAAGAATGCGCATAAGTAGCGGCTCTGCGTAACTTCAACCTTACACAATGGCTCTGTGCATCCCATTTCTCATACATATATACACCATATATTAACCACATAACATGAGTGCGCATAATTACTGCATCTGTGTATGCGCTGGTTGCTTTGTGCATACCACCACCCCACCATATGTCCTCCAGACCTCAGAAATATATAGTGCACATACATCCTATAAAACATTTTTCAAATGTAGCTCTGCACATCCGCTCTCAATTTGTGTACATCTATACACCATATTTTATTCAAATAACATGATTGCGCATCATTAGCGCCTCTGTATATGCGCAGGTCGCTCTGCGCATATCCTCTCCATGTATGTATGTATAAAATTGAGAATGGAATGTATATATGTATGTATGTATGTATGTATGTATGTATGTATGTCTTTATGTCTGTATGTATGTATGTTATATGCATGTATGTATGTATGTATGTATGTATGTATGTATGTATGTAAAATTCCAACAATTATGTTAGGTCCAATGACGTCATGCAGCTTACAAATCCTGTCGCCGTTATTCCACTAAAATTTATGCACATACGCAAATACAACATAGTCACTTGAATTTTATTTTCTGTATACATTTTATATCAGCTATGTCTGTACTCAAAACAAATTATCTTCATTAGTGCAACTCAGTTGCAGTCTAGTAAAAAACTCCTAACCCTAACCCTAACCCTAACCCTAATTACCCTAGCCATATTAGTAACCCTAGCCATAACCTAGTTCTAACCCTGAGTGTTTATGCTTTGAAATAGGCTGTTCGCATGTGCCAATTTATAACCCGTAGGCAAACACCATTGCTGCCCTCACTCAATTCTGATCCTATTGGTAAATCTCATCTTAACCATCAATTTAAATCTAACTCTAACCATAGCCATAACACTTATTGTAACCCCGAGTGTTTATGTTTGACGAAGGCTGTTCACATGTGTCAATTCATTACCCTATTGTAGCCCTCACTCAATTTTTATCCTATTTGTAAATCTCATCTTAACCCTAACCCTAACCCTAACGCTTATTCTAGCCATAACACTAATTGTAACCATAAGTGTTTATGTTTTGACTCAGGCTGTTCGCGTGTGTCCATTCATTACCGTAGGGCAAACCCTATTCTAGACCTTACTCAATTTTTATCCTATTTGTAAATCTCATCTTAACCCTAACCTATCTTAGCACAGCGCAACTTTAAAAAGAAATTGATAAGAAACTTTATACCGTTTTATTTTCATCCAATAGATTTTCTTCAATCACTTTTTGAAAAAATAGCTATCATATGATTGGTTAGTTGCTTGTGTATCTTGTCTGATCAAAATGTAAGTTTTTAGATTGAAATGAATAGACTGCAATGAGAAAATAATTCAAAGAATAAACTGTAGACACAGAGATATGTCTCGCTTGTATGTAGTTTGTAGTTTTGATAGTAAAATGCAAATGTAGATATCAAAATGTCAATACTTTAACATGGAAAGTAAATTCAACGAACCATGACTGGAGGGGCAGAAATATAATTTCCATGTCAATGAGACGTGCTAGTACTAACAAAGCTAAATACAAAATAAAGTTGACTTACCTTCGATGGATCCGTTTTAGATAATGCATATTTTAAGGGTTTTCTTGTTGTATAACACACCAAGAGGTGTCAGGACTGTTCAAATGAAAGACCGACCGTTAGTAGTCTTTCTATGTGTAATCCAGGCACAACAAGGTGTGTTATACGACAAGAAACCTCTTAAAATATAAATGAGATATTCTTTTCTCAAGCAATTTAATATGACAACGCCCCACGTCTCAATTATAAGGTGAAATAAAACTCACTAATTTAGATATACTAGTAAACGTTAATTACCACTGTCCAGTTAAATCAATATTTTACTGTTATTGCACAAAGCAAGAAATAAATCAATTGTTTTGGTATATGAAAATAAAATTCATATACTTGGTAAATAATTTATTTTATTATACTTCACGTCAAAATACCAGATTTTGATTGGGTTAATACGAGGGAGACAATTTACTCTATCCCATGGCAAATACTTCGCCTCAGTTGACAATGTTTTCACGGGGTAACAATCTGCTCTATCACCCTCTCAGCTATGTGTTATTTATATAATTTTCTTTAAAAAAGGAGTGTTAAGTTTTTTTCTCGTTTTATGATATTTTTGAGGATCCAAAGAATATCCATGGATATGGGATCATTGAGATGTAATGCTGATACAACTTCACACCAAATATCATTGACTTAGGGTTGGGGTATAATAATAAATCAATTTAGCAGGCTCTGCAAATTGAATGACAGAACTATTTGACTGTCAGTAGTAAAGATGGATATGTTTGGGAAGAAGAAGACCATTTTGTCTTTAAGTAGCTATAGGCTATCTACCCAGTAACCCCTTCAAAGAGATCTTTTATTTGGGGAGAGAATGCATTCTTCCTATGATTTTTTATATGAACGAAATATCCTAGTCTAATTTGCTGTCAAGAATTATTACACCTTACCATTTGTAAACTAAATATGTTTCTGTATTTTCAGGAACGGAAGTGTCTTTTTCCCCTTTTAAACAAATGTTTTACATTTTTTACCTTTGTGCACACTTGGATGGATGGATGGACAGGTATGGTAAAACCTAATGCAACCATTTTAGGAAATAACAATTAACAAGAAGCGACTATATTAAAAAAAAACACTTTCATGCATGTTTCTATATTTATCTATTTTAAATAATTAATATCTTGATTCCTTGACGCTAAATGTGTGTTCTTGTCGCTAAATTAGTCTTCTAGTCCCTTAATTATTCTTCTTGTTGCTAAATTATTCTTCTTGTCGCTTATTAGTGAGACCCTCGAATTTTTCACTGATTCCCAGATGTCAACTTTGGCACTTCGTTTAGGATTTAAAAAAAAAGATTTATCAGACCTTGTAGATCGAAATTGTTTACCTGACAAAGGGTCTGACATGATAGTTATGTCAAACAATCAGACGATTTTCAACAGCTCTGGTTTTCAATAATTCCAGAAGAATATTGATAGTTTAGGCGTATTTCGGCAATTCAACGTTACAAATGTTCTGATGAGAAAGAGAAAAAAATCAGATTCCAGAGAAAGCTGAGTTATTATTGACATGTGGCGACTAAGCATAGGTCATTCGACTTTTCATTGTTATATAAACTACTGAAACAATCTTAAAAGCAACTAAAGATTAAAATACCACTCGAAATAAACCAGAACTCTTTCAATTTTTAAGTAATTCCAGTATGTCAATCGGTTGACTTCCCATAATGCAAAATGCAACTCTATTGCAAACTTTGAAAACTTACAAAAAACACCCTTCGTTTTTTTACTGAACAATGTCAATGAATTACAATAAAAAATGGAGAATGATGCCCCCGCTTGCATAGAACATTATAAAGGGACATAACTCAAGAACGATAAAAGTGACGCTACCCAAATTTGTACTTGATCTGAGTTTTAAGGTAATAAGTATTGTGTATAGGTTTCATAATGTTTGGTTGAGACAAACTTAAGTTACAAAACGGAAACTAAAAATTTAGCAATTTTTCGATTTATAAAGGGGCATAACTCGATAATGATTAGAGTGACGATACCAAAATTCAACTTGATCTGTGTTTTGTGGTAAAAAGCATAGTGTATAATTTTCATAACATTTGGTTGAGGCAACTTAAGTTAGAGAATGGAAACTAAAGATTTTGCATTTTTTTTCATTTATAAAAGGGCATAACTCTAGAACGGTTAGAGTGACACTACCAAAATTCAAACTTGATCTTTATTGTGTGGTAATAAGCATTGTGTATATGTTTCATAAAATTTGGTTGAGGCAAACTTAAGTTAGAGAACGGAAACTAAAAATTTTGTTATTTTTTTATAAAGGGGCATAACTCTAGAACTGTTAGAGTGACCCTACCAAAATTCAATCTTGATCTGTATTTGGTGGTAATAAGCATTGTATATAAGTTTCATAACATTTGGTTGAGGTAAACTTAAGTTAGAGAACAGAAACTAAAATTTTTGCAATTTTTCCATTTATAAAGGGGCATAACTCTAGAACGGTTAAAGTGACGCCACCAAAATTCAAACTTGATCTGTGTTTTGTGTTAATTAGCATTGTGTACAAGTTTCATAACATTTGGTTGAGGCACACTCAAGTTAGAGAACGGAAACCAATTTAGGGACGTACGGATGTACAGACGGACAAGGATAAAACTTAATGCCCCCTCCGCTACGTGGGGCATAAAAACACAGAATATCACAAATAGAAGGAGAAAGAATTCCACTTTTCAGGATTATAATGATGACGTATTAACCCCTCACGTAGAAACAAAATGGCTATTACCTGATACCATTAAAGTCATTGCCTTTAAAAACCTTCAAAAAATGTAGGAAATTATTTGCTTATATTTTTTCCATAAAGTTTCTGGGAACCTAGGGGGCAGAGTTGACTAAGATGTCAAACTTCTGTATCATTAGCCTGTCAACACTGAGGTTATGAGTTTGAATCTGGCATGTGGCAGGCGTGTTCGACTCCAATCTTAATTGACTAGGATTGTCAGTTTTCTTACCAAAGGTCAGTGGTTCTCTACAGCTTCTTCCACCAATAAAAACTGACCTCCAGGAAGTAGCGCAATTGTGCTGAAAGTGGAGTTAAACACCAATAAATCATAAAATTTCTATTTCAAAGGGGTGTAACTGCTTCAAAAAAAGTTGATCTTGCCAAACAAGATTGTGTTAACCTTAACTACTTCTTTAATCATATTTAAAAAAAAAACACAAATTCTGCATCAGTGAAATTTTTTAGGATAATTCATAAGAAAAATGGACTAGTCTCCAGAATATCACTGTTTTATGAACCCAGGCTAGAAGTAAGTTAAGGTATTGATCAGTATATTTGGCTTAGGCTAAAGAATTTGTAAAACAAAAGTATCTAAGACTGTTTAATCATATAATTTAGATGGAGTACAATGAAAAATGGTATAAAAAGTCATTGACAAAAAAAATTCATTGTCACTGAACACTTCATCGAGTGGCAACTGTACTTCCATTGGCAGCAGCTTGCTGTTGTAACGAAGCTTGCTGAACTTTATACTGTAAAATCTCTATAACAACTGAAAATGATAAATAGAAAAGTCAATTAATGTATGACCAAGTTCTAAAATCATCTATAAACGAACTTTAATCATGTTAAAATATTGAATTTTATTTTCAATCTCTTTCTCTTGAACCTCAGACAAATAGATAGTTCTATAAACAATTTTCATTTGCATAATTACATACTTCTCTACTTGGATGATGACGATGATGATGGATGACTGCTTAACGTCCAGTGGCAAGTTAAATGCATATTCAGGACAAAAACATGATAATATGATATGAATTTTGAACTGATTTGTACTAACTAGACCGACACACTGAACAGGAATTTTTATGTGCTAAATCAGATGGAATGTCCAAAGGAAGACATGACACCTTAACCCGACATATTATTCTGACTAAGCACCAACAAGTCTATGCTCTTATTCAAATCCAGCAAATACCAATTTTCAAGTGTTTGGTTTGACCCAGCCAGGGATTAAACCCCTGACCTCCCACATTCACTCCGGCCAGCATGCTACCACTGTTAGGACATTGAAACTTTCAAATATACTATCAACCTAAAGAAACCAGGCCTTAGGTTATCTCCAAATGTTCACATAATTTATAAACTGAAAATTTAACGACAAAAGTTTTAATAATACTGTATAAAGATTTATCTATTACTTCTTAAAAGTATTCTTTCACACTAAGGAGTTTAAAATATTCTTTTTATTCTTAATTTTAAAAAAAAAATACAAGTAGGAACATGTTTTCTACTTTTTGTAATATTCCAATTTTAATCAATTTGCTTTGAAACAGTGTCTGATCAACTGACTATTAATTACAGCATGGTAAAAAAGGGGAGGTAATTAAATCGGGTAAAAATTTACAAGCTATAAAAGATGCACTATTTGTAGCCTGGGATCAATTAATCAACAGACCAGGCAAATGGAGTATAAAAACAAAAGAACATGCAATCTTTTGTTAGGTAATACATGTAACATGTTGCATTATGGGATAGTCTTATTTTCTGGACATCATTTGGCAGGAAATAATAAAATGGCCATAAATTTATTGAAATCAAATAAAAATTGTAAATATGTTATTTCCAGTAAAAATGAAGCTATATTTAAACCCATACTGATTTACATTGTTAATTAACTACTGTAAAGTAAGAAATTTTCCCAATAATAAAAACATCGCAAATATTTTTTTGATTTGATGAGGTATTCATTGTTAACATAATATATATGCATTAAATTCAGTTCTGATCTGCGCTGAAAGTGCTCATATGAAATTCTTCCATGCCTGGCTTAATTGATGTAAAGCAGAGACATTGCCATGACCCCCAACTTTAATATTTGGGAATATTGTCTTACAATGAATATTATCATAAGGAAAATATGTACTCAAATCTGGTTTAGATTTAGATTACAATTATTGAAGGTAAACTAAAATACTCATTTTATGTATTAAAAGATAGAAGAAAATCATAAAAAATATTTCAAATGGAGGTCTTTGAAATTAAGTTAAAGTCTGCTGCAATAGCATAAGGCCCAGAGTCTTGTGTGTAACTATTACCTTGTTTCATCCTATACTTTTCCTGCAGTAAGGGTTGTACTTTTTCTATCTGTTTAGTAATGTAATCAATCTTTCTTTTGAAATGTTCTTTCCCTTTTTTGACATCCTGTGAAATAAAAAAATCAAACATAATTCAGATAAAGGAATAAAATAAATAGTAAAACAATAACAAAAGATAACAGGTTATTTTCATTATAATTTGGTTTTTATCTTGACTTGATAGAATTTGTAGGAAGAATTCAATATTTATATATATGCCATTCTTTATTACTCATGTATATAATCCTTCAATAAATTGCTTTGATGAGCGCAGCTGGATACGACCGCAGAGGTCCAACCCTGAACAGTTGTGGCAAAAATGGACACAATATTCGCGCTTGATACAGGTCTGAATTTGGATTGTAATTAAATATTTAACACATAATAGGTTTCTGACACAGAATAACTGTAGTCAAAGAACTTAGAATTGGTTATATGATTTAAATTTATATTCAATTTTTTGCTTTTGTACAATAGACTATATGCTATTTCTACATAAGGAAATGCCTTTCCCCCCCCCCCCCCCAAATAAAATGCTTTGCTGGGCGCAGATTGATACGACCGCAGAGGTCGAACCCTGAACAGTTGGGGCAAGTATGGTCACAACATTCAAGCTTGATACAGCACTGAATTTGGATTGTAATTAAATATTTGACACAGCATAGGTTTCTGACACAGAATGAATGTGGTCTTAGAACTTAAAAAATTTTAATTTACCAATTCAAACCATATCATTATTATTTGCTTTTATATATAAATCAGAAATAACCAATTTAAAATGGAAAATTTTAAAGAAAAAAAAGGAAAACAAAATCCCCCCCCCAAATTTTTTGAACCCCCTTATGATTAATTTACCCCCAAAGTCAATCCCAGCCTTCCCTTTGTGGTATGGTACCTTGTAGTACAATTTCAGAGAGATCCATACACTTGAACACAAGTTATTGTCTGGAAATTAGAAAAATGCTTGTTTTTTGGCCCCTTTTAGGCCCCAAATTCCTAAATGTTTTGGGCAATTACCCCCAAACTCAAACCCAGCTTTCCCTTTGTGATATGGAACCTTGTAGTACATTTCATAAAGATCCATACACTTACACACAAGTTATTGTCCTGAAACTAGAAAAATGCTTGTTTTTTTGCCCCTTTATGGCCCCTTTTCCTAAAATTTTGAGGCAATTACCCCCAAAATCATTCCCAGCCTTCCCTTTGTGGTATGGTACCTTGCAGTACAATTTCAGAGAGATCCATACACTTGAACACAAGTTATTGTCTGGAAACTAGAAAAATACTTATTTTTGGCCCCTTTTTCCTAAACGTTTTGGGCAATTACCCCCAAACTCAATTCCAGCTTTCCCTTTGTGATATGGAACCTTGTAGTACAATTTTAGTAATTTACATCCATGTCATTTGGTCTTTGGTGGATAGTTGTCTCATTGTCTTATTACACTACACCTCCTTATTTTATCTTACCTGGTAAGAACAGCAATTAACATATATTGATTAGATACCAGCATTTAATCATTGTCTTGTGCGCATACATGTATATATCCCATTTTGAACAAACCATACCGATTTTTATTGTTAATTAACTACTGTTATTGTTAACTGTTGACGTAAAAATTGAAGAAATCTATTCAACATTTCATAGGTTGAGCTATGTATCAGTGAAAAAATTTCACAAATAGTAAGAAGGCTTTTGAGATCAAAATAACATTAAATTTGAATTATCATCACCAAATTCACGCTATATCCCTGGCACAGAGTTTAACTGTGCCTTCATAACAATTTCAATGCAGTCTTACCATATCTACATAATATCCTGTCCCTATATCAACCATTACATTGTGCACATCACTCAGTTGTCCTGGTACATATATCTATATTTAGTTAAGATGAATAACTCACTTTTGTGGTGGCTAAATGGCTATATTGTATAGCTGAAACATGTTTATGTAGTAAGTGTGAAGGATTATGAAATCCGAATTCAATTCTTACATTTAAAACTTTTTGTAAAATATCTGTCAGCATGTTTGACATAAATTATAAAGTACATCTGTTGAAATTTTATTTCAATCCTTTAAATCAGTTAATTCCTTCCAAAACTAAAAATATGGCAATGATTTTTTTCCTAATTCTTCTCCCAAAATGTGGTAGTTAAATACTGAATATCTTGTTGATAAATAAATACAACTTTTGAGTACAACTGTAGGATACAGAACCAGTCAGAGGAACCAGTATATCTTTGTTCTGGCTTTCAGGTGAAATTTTGTTCAAACTTTCTTGAGATTCTACAAACTTCCCCTGTGCATGCTTCAGCTGGTTCATGGAACTTGAGAACAATTCAATTTCCTGAAAATAGTAAAAAAAACAGAAAATTAAATTAATATTTTATGATAAAAAAGAACATGCAGGGTACAATGTATATAATGAGGATATAGCAACAACATAAAACAAAAAAGAAAATACTTCTATATATGTCAAAGTAATGTCTTCAAGAATAAACAAGTATCTATACCATATATTCAAGTTCTTATTCAGTACAATCAAAAGATAAAAAAAAAAAACACAATATCTCTTATCAGATTTGAAGTTCTTTTAACTAAGATGCCCCATAATTGTTGTGTTAAAAAGTTATCAACAGATTGACCAAAATATGAACCTGTTGCTCAATAGATCAATATTGTCATTATAACCTTCTAATTACTGTAGACTGATTGATCAATATGGCAGGTGTTATTACTTAAAAGGTGCAGGGATCTCCATGACCTGTTTTAGGATGGCACACCGCCATCGTTAAAATATCTTTCGCCACCGTCAAATGATCCCCGCCATCATTAAATTATCTTCCGCCATCATCAAATGATACCACCATTGTCAAAATTTGTTTTTGTTTCTCTAGCCGCCATTTTTGTTAGCAAATTATAATCAATAAATGGGAAATGTGTCCATTGGACACAGATAATGCCCCTGCTTGCATATCATATAAAGTTATAAAGGGACAAAACTGAAGAACGTTAAAAGTGATGCAACCCAAATTTGTACTTGATCTGAGTTTTGTGGTAATAAGTATTGTGTAAGATTTATAACATTTGGTTGAAGCGAACTTAAGTAAGAGAACAGAAAAGAATAAACAGCTGCGCCACGGGTGCATGATACGCCCGTCGTCTTGTGTGTGAGGTTTTATGCAATAATCATAAATCGTTTCTGAGATACAGCGCAACATGTGAAAACACCCCTTTTTTTTATAAAAAAATCAATAACTCTAAAATAAAATTTTGAATCATCACCAAAAAGTATACAGATCTTAAGATTAATATAATTAAGAAGTGTGTAAAGTTTTAAGCAATAATCATAAATCGTTTTTGAGATACGGCGCAACATGTGAAAACCCCCCCCCCCCCCCCTGTTTTAGTTACAAAGTCCCGTAACTCAAAAAGTTTTAATCTGATTTTCACCAAAAAGTATACAGATCGTTTGACCATCATAAGAAACAACTATGTTAAGTTTCTTGAAATTTCACAAATGAGTGAAGAGTATTTGTATTGTATGAGAGAAAGTCAGAGAGCGAGAGAATATAATCAAATAAAATTTATATGTAACCTTAAATACTACGTGTATAATTATAAAAATCAACTTGTCAGTGATATATATTGTATACTGAATTATTATTTATATGTAACCCCTTGATACCCTTGTCAGGTGGTAGTGTAGGGGTACATGTATGTTAAATCCTGACTATTGAAAAACAAATAAAAGATAAAAAAAAAAAGTTTCATGAAATTTGGATAAGTCGTTCTCAAATTACGGTGCGACATGTGGACGCCAGACAGACGGACAGACAGACAGACAGACAGTCAGACAGACAGACAGACAGACGGACGCCAGACATTTGTATACCATAATACGTCCCATCAAAATTTTAAATAAATAAATAAAAATTCAGCATTTTTCCATTTGAAAAGGGGCATAACTCTAGAAGAGTAAAAATGATACCACCAAAATTCCATCTTGCTCTGTTTTTTTGGTAATAAGATGCAACATTTGTAGATATTTTTACTGGTCTTCCTATATAAATATGCATTTCTTTAAACATAATTTAAAAGCAGTGTAAGGGAGGTAATTAAAACGTATTTGGATTACCTCCCTTACACTGCTTTTAAATTGTCTTAATTGTTCATTAACCATTACTTTATACATAATTTAAAAGCAGTGTAAGGGAGGTAATTCAAATGATGTATTTGAATTACCTCCCTTACACTGCTTTAAATTATGTTTTGTACTAAAGTATTTGTCCATTAACCAGGACACCCTTGTCTTTCCCCCTTTTTTGCCCCTAATTCCTATACGGTTTGAGCCATAACCCCCAAAGCAAATCCTAACCATCCCTTTGTGGTATGGAAACTTGTGGTATAATTTCAGAGAGATCCATACACCATTCCACAAGTTATTGTCTGGAAACTAGAAAAATGCTTATTTTTGGCCCCTAATTCCTTATCTGTTGGTACCATAACCCCCAAAATCAATCCCAACCTTCCTTTAGTGTTATTGAACCTTATGGTAAAATTTCAGAGATCCATTCACTTAACTAAAGTTATTGTGCGAAAACCAATGTGTCTAGGACATGTAGGACGACGATGACGACAACAACGCCAACGTCATACCAATATACGACTGCAAAAATTTTTTGTGGTCGTATAAAAACAATCAGAAATTGGTGTATTAATCCCGACCATTATAAATTAGAATTCAAATTTTCTGGTAATATCTATCCGGATGCAAGTAAAATCGGCAGTGGGCAAGTGAAACCCATCATATACATGTAGTTGTCCACCGGGCAAGTTGTAATATTGTGTTTGTGTATAACTATGTCAGATGTTGATTTCTCTGAGGTGTGTGTATAATCATATTACTATTTTCGTCGTCTTTATTTATTTCATATGGGCATGCCTGGAAAATCAAAAACATAATGGTTTCCCCTGAATAATTCTATTGGTCAATTCCTATGCATAAGCCAATGAGCGCCAGCGTTTTAGAATGTTCCGCTACTAATTGTGAGAGGAAGTCGAAACAATGATCCAATCAGAATGTGTTTCACAAGCAACTTTTGGGTTGTTTTAAAAATGAAAGTAGAAGAAAACAAATTATGACCTTAGTGAATTTGTCAGTTAGTTACAATAAAGAGTATTAAAGACCAGATGCACCTAATTTACTAGGAACGACAACAGCAGCAAACATTCAGAGGTATAAAATACAAAATTAGTTTTTTTATCGCTATAAATTATTATCCGATTTTGGGTATAATACCCATTAATGGGGATAGTCATACACAAGAATCAGGGACAACTCAGCGGGGGTAACGTTATCAGTGACCAACAACAGAGCACTTTTGGACTGATAAAATTTAACATTGTTGTATATGGAAAAAACATGACAGTTGCTTAAAAATGATTTGTCAACATTTAATTTGTACAATCATAAACTATTGCAATGGTAGGTGAAAAAGTTATTAAATTTATCTTTATTTTGATGTAAAAAAAAAATCATTTTATGTTATTTTAAAGTGGTGTCCCTAATGATTTGAAAATTGCACATGAAAAGATACGTTTTTTCCTACATAACTTAACCAAATTCAATGATGACGAGTGGTAGTAAAGAAATCATTTAAAATTCATTATTAGAGTGATATTATTTCGCCATGTCCCATGTTATTTTTGTATAATTCTTCTTTCTGAAGGTGCAAAAAAAAATATTTTATGTTTACATTTGATGGTGTCCCTTTGAAGTTTGAATATGGTGATTATTTCGTTATCAAACGTCTGTTCATGTTTATGCATATACGTATATTGTAAAGAACTGAAACCGATATCTAACCGTACCATATTGGGAAAGACGGAAAATGTTTGATAAAGCGTCGAAAACTTTAAAAAAAAATTAATTATATTAATCATTTTTCAATTATTGTTTAAAATAAATTCATGATGACGAAAATGTTAACTTGAATTTAAGTCCTCATTAAAAATTGTTGAAATTTTAAACATTATCCTCATAATTTAAATATATAGATAGAACTAAAACACATTTTGTATGATGAGAAAATTGCTAATGAATTACAGAGAGCTTATTTGTAGTACACCCCTAATATCAAAGAAAACAATGTGAATTTGAAATACTAAAAGTTGGAATGAATTAATTCAAAATGCAAAGCATTTGTGTATATTGCTATTAAAAGTTTTGTAGGGTTCGGGAAAAGTAACATTTAATTGTTTTTCTTTCTCTTAAACACTTATTATGTATAAAACATATTTTATTTATTGGAAGGAAAAAGATATGTACAAGTATCACTTATTGTGTTCTTATCTTAACCATATTAAAGTGTGAATTTAAACAACAACCACCCGCTGTTTAATCATCTACCAGCTATTCAATTAATGAAAGATGTAGACCGACATTCATGTTGATTTTGAAAAGTTTAATGTACACATTACGTATAACTCTGTCAACTTCTGTACTCTGGGATGTTTATACATGAACATATATAGCCCCGTCTAGTGTGCATGAGAGATTTAACTAAAATTTTGAATGTTGAAATACTGATGACAATGTGTTAATTGTGCATCTAGAACATTCAAATGTCCAATGATATAAAAATAATATACTTATTCAACAGTTAAATTATAATAATAAATTCATAAACAGTTGGACATATAAAAAAAGAAGATGTGGTATGATTGCCAATGAGACAACTCTTCACAAGAGACCAAATGACACAGAAATTAACAACTATAGGTCACCGTACATCCTTCAACACACTGTTAGACGTATTATTATTTGATATGTGCAACAAGTTTTCTGGTATTTCAAACATAATATTACTTTGCCTTTCAACATCAGTGTAATCTTTTCTATCAGACCAAACTTTTTCTATGAATGAAGGTAGATGTGCATGATGTGGGGTATGAGTAAATGCAGAAGTCATGAACTTCTGGTAAATGACATAGCAACCCAACCATGCACATAAATAACTTAGATATCTAGAGAGCAAAATATAGCTTTCTCCAAAAGACAGGCTCTTACAGGGCAACTTAAATATTCAACAATAGACATACCTTTATAAAAATGTCAAGATCTAAATCGCCCAGAGTCTATACGTTCAATGTGAATTTAAAAAAAACTATGTGGTGTTTGCTTACATCCTCTTTTTTCAGTCTATGGTGGATTGTTTTCTAATATTGGCAATAATACCACATCTTCTCATTTTTCTTAAGGTCTGTTATAAACATAAACATTCTCCAAATAACGAAAACAAATAAGATATGACATACGACAACTACTTACGAGGTTCCCAAATTTGGACAGGTACTAGTACATATATATAGAAATGTGGTCGGGTTAAACTTACTTTTGTAGATCTCCCCCCTCCCCCTTTTGAACCTCAGTATAGATCTCAACCCTCCCCCTTTTGAACCTCAGTATAGATCTGAACCCTCCCCCTTTTGAATCTCAGTATAGATTAACAGAATGTGAATAAAAGACAATACAATAAAGACAAGAAAAGAACTTTACTCTGGTTTGTTTAAAGTTATTGCCACACATCTTATTTTTAACCGTCCAAGTCCCAATTCGCCTCCTATTGTGTCTATATAAAAATGACCATCCCACATGAGTGCATATTAAATATTTTTGAAAATCTATTTTGCCTTTCTGCTTACCTGGCTATGTGATTACAAAATTTTTTGGATAGACATGTTTTGTTTATGTCTAAAATTCAAAGAAAAGTACCCTCATACAATGGCTGTATAAAAAGTTGTATATAGCAAACCTACATTGTATAATGCTTTTTCATGAACTTATTCAGTGATTTTGCAGGTTAATCTATATCATTTTGTATATGAAAACATGTGTTATCTTCATCAATATGAATTGCTTTTTAAACTTGCTTTTGAAAGACGGAAAACGATCCAGGATACACATGTGAAGGTGAAGCTCTATAGTTTATTGAAAAATTTAGATTCACACCGGATATGTTTTTGGAAATTTATGAGTTTCATATGAAATTGTATTGTGTCTTGTATTTGCATATTACTCCCATCCTTTCTTTTCAATATGTTAAGAATAAACATCATTATCTAAAGGTAATACAGATACAGCGAAAATTGACACGAAGTAGGCAAATATTTCGAATAGGAATTATACCGACCTGTATTTCACACTAGTAAAAAAGAAGAAAAAACGTGAGATTGCCTTTTTAATGTACCTCTTTAAAATTATTGTAGCCTTAAAATTGTCAAAACTTATCAAATCAACTTTCTAAAATTCACAGGTTTAGTCTTTTTCACCCAAATCTTCTTTAAGGTAGCACTACAGTCTAACAATGATTTTTTGAAGATATTTTTTTTATCACATAATTTTGAAGTAAGTATTATTCTGCACAGTTTGTAAAAATCCCAAAGTCATTATCATATCACAACAGGGAGTAAATTGATAATGAACTTTTGTAAATAAAAGCACATGTAATTAATCTAAATATATAGGCATTTGGGAGGGGCTAATATGTCAATCATCTGTTGATACCAGTGTCCAGCTGTTAATCCCTGACCACAAGATAAAAATATCTCATTGCATTGCAACAAAACTAATTTATAAAACATGGAAGTTTAGAACAGAGAAAATGAAAAAGATATGAATAGGAAAAAATTTAAAGGGAAAAAATCTACCAAAATGAAAAAAAACTATGGAAAAGAGTGTGAAAGTATCTTTGAAAGCCTCTGACTGCCTGTATAAATTTCTCGTCTTTGGTCTTCTACATTTAAAAATAATTTTAGGCATTTTAACTAATTTTAAGTTTATGTGAAATTTTTTAATTCCATGAAACTCATAAATCATGTTGGACAGTCTATTTTCAAGAAGGGGATGGTCTTGATCTTTTTATGGACATGTATTTTAATTTTAATATATTAGCTAATTTCAGTCATCATGGTCATATTATATTTCTTTTTAAAATTCAAATGAAAATTATTCTTTATAGTGAGAATAATGATGTTAAATATTAATTATGATGCAGCTGGCCAATCCTGTTATTCTCTTATCTTAGACTGTCTGGACAGAGGCGGAGCTTTGTCTTTATTTAATTACTACATCACAGATGTTGGTCAAATCTGTGACGTCAAACTCCCGCCAAATGCCAAGTTAGTGTTATACAGTGCACACAAAATGCAAATTTTACAGCATTAGAGCATCAAAGACACAATGTGTGTGGTTCTATTGATAAAGTAATGGTGTTAGAACACTCCTGGGGTGTTCCCAGTGGAATTTTTGTATTTATGTGGCATTTATAGGGGTTCTTAAGAGGAAATTCAGTTTTAAGGTCATTTCTCAGAACAATTTTTTCATGAGAATTGTAAGGAAAAAATGAAAATAGAAACTTTATGGGTACCCCCTTTGGCTTGTCTTTGATATATGTGATTGAAGGGAGTATTTTCTACAATACCGTGTCCCAGTTTTTGGATAATTTGTTTCTAAATGAATTTATAGGTCTCCAAAGATGAAAGGTGAAATGAGGTTTGGCATCCAGCAGTAAAAATAATATATCTTATTACTGGAGGCATATATCAAAAATCTGAGACACGGTTTTGTAGATTGTGAATGGTTGATTAAAGGGATGAAAACAAATTTTTACTACCATTTGACCTGAATGTGCCATTTTCATCCAAGTTGGAAGACCACTTTTTTGGCAATTAATGAGCTATATTTTGAGATTAATCATACCAAAAATAAATTTATCTATAGATTTAGAAAGAGTTATATTTCAGCTTTAAAATGAGTTAAAGATTTTAAAAATCCATCGAGTAGTTTTGGAGAAATTAATCTTTAAAGACTGTTGGTTGGAGTCAGAAAATTCTGACTGTAGTGCTACCTTAAAGCGTCTCAAAATCGAAAAATGCATTTTTTAAGATTAGAAAAAAAACCATCGCTATTTTAACTAGTTGCGATTTTAATCATTTTTTTAACCATGTTAACTATAATAGAACATAAATCAGGCCATTGTTTTTCTCTTTTAAATCATTTCTCATTTTTTCATACTGCGGCATTTTATAACGGTTTTACTCATTGTCGAATGATGTACAGTGTCCTATAGTTGTTAACATCCTCGTATTTTGTTCTTTCAATTGACGGAAAGTTTTCATTGTACCACATCTTTTTATTTATAAGCCAATATATCCATTTGTTGTTAGAATTAAGAGGATACATTGCAAATGTAAATGCAAAAGCCCCAGAAATGAAGAAGGTACCAGAAAAAAGTCTGGTTAGAGATAGTTTGTCTCTGATTTACAATGTGAAAAACTTATTTCATAGTAATATTTTGTGTTTTCTTGAACATTAATAATTATAAGAATAAACAACTTTGTAAACAAAACTAATTGTAAAAGAATTCATAATGATCTAGTAATTATTTAGAAAATAGGCCGCGAAAATTTGTTATTACTTGAGATATATCCTTTGCATGAATAAAATTTGATAAGTCTTCATTTATCAATTCTAACAAACAATATCCCAAGCTGTAAAATGAATTTATGTGATAAAAAGAAAGTACTTCAATAATTTAAGATTCTCTAATATATTCAAAAGATAGTAAACAGTTTTACTATTTAATTGTGAATTTTTGTCCTATCAATTGAGTGACAGTCAGTCGTGTGACTTTGTGCCATTTACTTGCAACTCAGGACTGTGAAAAATTACCTTTACTTTTGACCTCATAACATTGTAAATTTAATCGTTTACGATTGCAGAGGCGTATAAAACAGATAGTATAAATACCTTTTTTTCAGATTTTTTTTTTATTATAATCAAGAAAGACAAAGAAGATTCTCTTGAAAGAAAGATTTGTAACTACAGTCAGGGGTACTACTTGTACAAGTAATTTTTTTTGCTTGAAGAAGTAAATATTAATATACTTGTATAAGTAAATTTGTAGGATACTTATACAAGTGTATTTTATTTACTTGTATAGGTAAATAAGTTTTTGGCTAAGTTATGTCCCTTAGACATTCAGATTTTTTTTACTTATACAAGTAAAAAAGTCATCCTATCTTCTTTTCTTGATTTCTTAGGACTTCTTTGCTCTTATATAATTTTTAATTGTCTTTCCTTTGCAGATGTCTTCACTAATCATTTAAGTGTAATTTCATGGACAATGAAAATCTCATTTGTCTGTTATCTTTAGAACACTTCTCATTAACAAGCCCCCAAGGGGCAATTTTTGAAGGCCTTGCCAAATACTTAAGATCTTTGCCAATCAGTTTCTTGATTGAATTGATGAGATGAAACATTGAATTCTAATAAAAAATTATGAGCTAACCTGAGAAAAATTGTTAAAGACATGTTTTTACATCTCAACACTTGAGAATTTTTGTGGGATTGTAAAAAAAATTACTTATACAAGTAAATTTTTGAGAAAATTAAGGGGAAATTATTCAAACATTATAATTAACTTATATAAGTAAGTCTGACTGAATTTTGCCAAATGAAAATTAAACTATGCCTTGTACTGCCCTATTCATTTTTCCTTCCCTTTAAAACCAAGTGTCTTGCTGACAGCAAGGATTTAAAACTATACATATTCTTGCTGATAATTAACATGTTAAACGATTCCCACTGATTAATCAATTAACACATATATGATCATATGTAGACCATTGCGACACCTATCGTGATTGTCATATCTTGTGAACTGGACACCAGATGAGTCAAGGAGATTAGAAACCCGGTTCAAAAGAATTATTTCTTAAATTGAGTTATCTCCCTCAAAAGTGTCTACAATTGTACATGACCCATTTATGAGGATCTTCCTTAACCTAAGGGAAAAATGAAGGGTAAAATGAGTCAGTTTGAGGTTTGGAAGTCTGCAAAAATTTTCCCAAATAGAGTAAATAGGGCTTTATAATAAATTCTGTGGGCGGTCAAATACGAAAATCGGTCCGGACACAATCCTATGATGGATTAATTATTAAAATATGTAATCGTACTGTGACGAGTAAAAAGCTTATTGTATTGGAGTTTCTATCACGACTTTTGGTTAGTAAGTTAAAAAAAAAGTGAAACTTAAGTAATGCTAAGTTTGAACCTGGTCTAATTGTTTAGCTAACTGGTTAAGTTGTTCAATTGGCAACTGGGCAATGTCGATTTGTTGGGTCGCCATGTCGGTATTTTATCCAAGGGAAGTAATTTAATAGACAGAAGTAGTTAAAGACCAACAAAAAATATAATATGATAAGGTATAGGAAAGGACCAAAATAAATGGATAGCCGGCGAAGCAAATTACCGGCGATCCGACACAGTCACTATAATTCTGTATTGAATATTAAAGGCGAAAAAAATCTAAAGGCTGATTTTTGTTGTTTGAATGGATTATTTTTATGGTCTTTAAAAATAAAAGTATATTGCAGTCGTATAATTTAATGTTATCACTGTTGTATATTTGCTTATCGGCACAAAGTTCGTGGAATCGGCGCGTTACGTTTGCGCGAATTCGTCCTACGTTTGCGCGAGAAAAAAATCCACGTTTGCGCGACAAAATGCATTACGTTTGCGCGAAATTTACCTGTTGAAAAGTTACTACGTTTGCGCGGATTTATACAAGAACATATCAAAATAAATCCATAACTTTTTATAAAAAAAAAAAACAAAATTTACTTAATCTAGTTAAAAAAAAACTGAAATTAATTTGTACAAATTTACTTAATATGTTAAAAAAAATATTAAATTAATTTGAACTGTTTTATCGGTCATCTTACATACACATGTTCAAGTTATGATTTACCATTCTAAAAATCATCTGCATGTAAACTGCGTTTTATTCATGACTATATACTTTGAATGTTCTTTTCCATGATATTCACTGTATTTTATTCAAAAGTTTTCTTTTACATAAATGTAGTACTTTTTAATGTTTACAGGTTTACCAGAGGACAATATAATTACAAACATAAGATAATACATAGCGAGACAGTACAGACATAATACCATATACATAGTATGTTATAAAAGACATTTGATATAATTAGTTAAGTATTTGATGATTTTTTTAGGAAAATTGATAACATTTTTTGTACGTGTACGTTACATATAGACAGAAACTTTCCTCAACAAAAAAATATAATTCAAAACATAAAATATAAGATGTAAGGATAACAATTTTATCCATGAAACCAATTTGGCAAAACAATTTCCATAATGTTGAAGGATTCTCTCTGCAAACATTTTCACGTCCGCTCTCATCGGCATGCTCGACTCGTCGAACTGTGAAAGAAGAGTGTGCCGTATTCCGATGTAAATAAACTACGATTCACACCTCCTGTTTACAGCTAGAGTTCCGTTTTACGATACACTTACGATGATACACAGTGCGTAACTTGCGATCAACTTAGTAGTCCTTTACGATGCCTTTGTGAAACACACGTAACGGGAACGTAGAACCACTCGTAAACGGATCGTAAAATGATACGGTGATCGTAAGTTAAGAAGGCTTTGTGAAACGGTGGCCAGACCAGTACATTTGTTCTTGCTTGGATTCATTACATAATAATATGGTATAAACTTTGATTAAAGAGCATAAATATCAGCATTTTACAGGTAAGGAATATATGAAACTTATCACCTATTCCTTCATTACATAAAGTACATATTCTAGTTTTCCCTTCGGAATCCCTGCCCATCTCCCGGTCTCAATAGTTGACTTAACGTTCGAACATCGATGTTTAGAAATATAAAATCTGTCCCTAAGTATTAATCTTAATAAATATGGTTCCAAACAAAACTCAAAACAATAAACGAAAAACAAATTACAGGTAAAAAAAACTCAGGTAAACTACAGGTAAATTCGCGCAAACGTAATACCATTTCACCGCGCAAATGTAATGCTCGTCATTTTCAAATTCGCGCAAATGTAGGTCGCCCCGTGGAACGGTGACAGATCTATATATAAGGCATAATCTATTTAAACAAATAGTTAATAAAAAAGTACTGCTGTATTTTGAAGATAATTCCTCGGCATTTCCATCGAAAACAACCCAAATGAAAGATCAAGATTATGATCCTTTGATGAATGTACACATTTCATAACTTGAAGTGTCTCCAGCAATATTATTTGAAATCAACTCCTGAAATAGGTAAAAACTTAATCATGTTGGTTGAAAGCTCAACAGAGCTTACGTTATGTCTTTGTTTTGTATACCATGCCGACTCTATTTAAAGCTTATTTATTTATCATGAGAGTGTGAGTCATGTATATCTTTAACAAGACGTGTTCGATCTCATTGCGTGCATTGCATTGCGTTCAAGTCTGAGTTAGAGGCATTTGATCTGGATACCGTGTGTAGTCATTGTTTACAAGTCTGAGTTAGTGGCATTTGATCTGGATACTGTAAAGGTGAATACTTTCGCGGTGCCTTTATTTCGCGATTTCAGTTCATTATAAACTAGTAAGCTACTCGGCTAAAAGGGTTCACTTTCCTGTTCTCGTTCTCTGATATGACACCAATAATATACCGCTTGTTGGTCTGGATGAAAGAGTAAAAATATTAATTTTATAAACTAGTTGAAACTAAATACCCTTTATAATGTATTTTTGATATATAACCAGCCATGTTTAATTCTCCACAGTGATATGACAATGCCTCTAACTCAGACTTGTACACAATGACTACACACTGTCTCCAGATCAATTGCCTCCAACTCAGACTTGTACGCAATAACTACACACTGTCTCCAGATCAAATGCCTCCAATTCAGACTTGTACGCAATAACTACACACTGTCTTTGATTGTTGTCATGTTGTTTTAGGGTACCTATATTCGTATCTGATTCACAAGAAGCATCTGTTATTCTTCGATGACCTGACTTGCTTAGTGCGGTGTCTGCGTATCTATAGTGTATTGCTGTTCATAACCTTATGTGATTTTGTCTGTGTTTACTATGAAAACTGCAATTCTCCTCCTGCAGTCCGTTGTATTTACAAAACTGATAGAACGACTAGTGTTATATGCTTCCTTATGATCAGTAGATACCATCAAGTATATTTTTTGCAAGTGACAGCGTAGCAGTTCTTCTGGACCGTACATCGTCAGCTTCATCCCTAGTTGTTGTTACAATAAATTTTGTCATTATAACTGTCTTCACTGACATCTAGGATGAAGTTTATAAAGTATCCGACTATTGCAGAGTGCTTTTAACAGTTCTTAAAAGATCAACCCAACAAGTTGATAGGATGTGATTCTCTTGTAAAAGTTTTACAACTTCTTTTAAAATTCTAAGGATGCAATGCACTCATGCAAAGTTATTCTAAAAAGTGTTGTTATTTATTTAGGTATCTCTTGGCTGCTAGCTCACTATACGTTTATATATCTTGACTTCCCAAACTTTGACTCTCCGCGTTCCTTGTCAGACTCGCATAGAAATGCTCGTCGCGCGAACGCGTAAAAGCAATTTCTTTTTTCTTAATTTTATGATTATCATAGATGATAGAACACATGACTGCAGACTCAACAATTGCACGAAACATTTGCTGCTGAACATTTAGCAACTGCCACTTTTAACTCATTACCACTTGGTCGACACAATTGCACGTAAGGGTTACCCATAAGTACACGTAATAGGGACACATACAAATCTATAAATCGTATTCCTTTATTTTATTCAATAAACCTATTCAGATAGTACCAGCGAGAATAAAATCAATGAGATATGGGGTATACGTTAATACGACAGCAACACAACGACACAAAAATAATGATAAAAAGACAACTAGATGTCGGTTAACATACGGTCTTCAACAACATTCAAGTCAATATACAATATAATATGTCAATCATCCGATTCTACTCGATTCTAGGGGAAACGTTGTTCATATTTTAACTATCAAACCAACATCAAGTTTCATTTCAGGAAAATCCATTAAAATTCAAAGACGAACTCAAACGGGGTTCTTGACTTTCGACAGCCACATGAACGAACATTGGTAAGTAAGCAGGTAAGTAAGTACATTTTATTTAAAGTTGGCATATATGTACATAATGACAGAGAAAATCTGAGCTCTAGTGAGCTCTTTAACCGACTATCATATAAATATAATGCAGCTTCATGCAAATATAAATAAATAAAATGGTGAGGTTAAATAAGGTTTCCTATGTATTTAAACTTAAAACCATTATTCTGAATAAACACACTACCATACTTTTAAAATAGTGGAAATAATTCTTTAAATAGTTTTGTTGGATTTATCTACGTTTACATATTTATTGAACATAAACTTTGACCAAAATAACTTCAAGAGGCTGTTGAAATGACAACAAACCGAGTTTTTTATTACATTGTTAAAGCCTCTAAGCGTCATAAATCATGACCTGAACGACAAAATTAAAAATTGCCTATATAAAACTGGATTTCATTTAGACATCAGTAACAACATATCAAAATCTGAAGAAGAAGAAAAAACATTGGCTGAACTGTTCTCAGCACAGAAACGACAATCACATACAGTGCTCTATTTTCGTATCAACCAAGAACCATTATTCCCGAATTCCCGAACGGCAATTGTGAAAATCAGCAATGCCGAATTTGACCAACATTTTGTCTTTAGTAACAACAATTTAAAATTTAGAAATCATTGATTGAATGGTTCTCAAGTTATTACACGGAAACGGCATAAAATGCCATTTTCAAATTAATCAAGGACCATAACTTTTAATCGAATGGCAAAAGTGAAATCATCAATATCGAATATGCCTTTTTTTTTGTCATCAGTAACAACATGTTAAAACTTGAGAAGCAATGTTTGAATTGTTATAAGTTATTGCACAAAAAACGGCGGAGACGAGCGCCCGAACGCGCGTCAATCGCCGTTCAACCTAATATTAATTACCGGCGGATTTTCGTTGGAAAACCCTGTTCAAAACACATTGTAAAGTGTCCTTTACTATATAAAATCAGAAAATGTCAATTATGTCAAAAGGTGTCATAGTTTTCAAAAACGCTTTCTTGAAGTCACGTCTAAAATTTATATGAAAAAAAGATATTTGAAGTACCCATCAATGAGACAACAATCCACTACCCCAAAAGGTCAACATATGGACACCAATAATACATAGTATCGTTATACATTTACATATAACATAAACATAAGATGGGATGTGCTTTCTTTGACAAAATCACATTTCAAAATTTTTTACAAGAATGATTCAGCTTTTTTTATTTTCCTTTTTCGCAATTTTTCTCGAAACACCACACATTTTACCTAAATATTACCATTAATTAATATTAATGACTATAGAAATACACAATAAAAACATAAGATATTATGTTCTATATTCGTTAAAGATCACACATATTAGAAGTTTTAACCAGAATAATCGAGCTTTTCTTCATTTCCCGTTTTCAGCAATTTTCTTTTGAAAACCTATATATCACCCCAAAATTGTCTTAATATTAATACATTTAACACTAGGAACACATGGTATAAACACAAGATGAAGCCAAAGTGTTATGTCTTCATCCAGTTTATAATCTTAAAATGTAACCATAAATGTTTTTTCTTCAGTACCAGTTTTCCGAATTTTATCCTAGAAACCACATATCTCACCCAAAAATAACCATTTCCACAAATCATATTACTAGTAATGCATATTTTAGTATGTTGTTTGTACCAGTCTACATTCTACTTTGCATTCAAAAACCCTCTAGTTGCAGGTTGAATGATTTTCAAGTTAAATTGACTTGGCTCAAGTATTACGTGCACATACTCACGTATCATTTTTCATAAAATTTAAATTACGTTAAGTGAATTTTAACGGATAATCAGAAGTTAAAACGTAATCTCTATTTCATTATCTTTTAAAGTGGTAAATGAAAATCCATTTGCAAGGATAAGGTTTCAACTTATAGTGTATATGACTGAAGTACACCTGAGACTGCTATGTGTTATAGTAGTCTCAGAGTACACCGATCTGTTGGAAATGTTGTACCAATAAAGGCTTATCATAAAAACGCTGCTTCTTGAAGGTTTAAACTATTCTCTCGTTTTTTTAAGATTTTTTTTTTGGTAAAGTTTCTTTTTAACTCTCATCTGTTTAAGATCTAAGAGGTTGCTGAGTGATGGTATTAGCTCATACTGGTCCGATTTTCACCAACATGCATAAAATAACAATACTATTTTTATTTCATTGTTTATTCCTAACAACCTTGCTTTCAGATCATGTACAATAATATAATAATAATAGTAAATGACAAAAATATAAATAAATACATAAACGTATCATAGATACAACTATAAAATGTATTGCATTTTAAAAATCTTAAATTGCGAAAGACATAAGATTGACTATACATCAATGATGACCGACTTGACCATCACCATGCACTGATATATATAATCCAAATTCTCTCTGTGCATCCATTTTAATCCACCAACATAAATGAAAACTTTTATATCTGAAACAAAGAAATTTGATAATAATTTTATAGTGAACAGATTTATATTATTTATATTATTTATCATTCGTATTTTGATAGTTTGATTAAATAAGAAGAGAACAAGTATTAGTAGTAGATATGCATTTTTACAAAAAATGTTTTCACAGTTTGAAAACAAATCACTAACCGACTCCTTAACCACCTGTTCCATTTAGCGTATGTCATTAAATCCATACCTCTCACAATGTTCCGACCATTAGTTGGGATGTAGCGCTGTGTAAAATCTAACGCGAAGATCTGATTTGATTGATTGATTGTTGGTTGCATATTCCGTCAAGAGACATTTTTGTTCATGCTATTCAGAACGAGAACAAATTAATACAACTATAGGTATGTCGCCGGGATGAAGTCGGAAAATTAGGGTACGTTGGATAGGGGAAGAAATGTGTTGCCTTGCAATAGGCCACCTACATGTATAAATATGGACACCGAGGGAATTTTTTCTCAAGGATTTTGTAATGTGCAGAGAGGTGTGGCGATCTCCCTACAAGAGGAATAGGATTTTACAATCCGATCGGACGTGGCTGCGTATTTATACACCCAGCACATCCTGACGTACGTGCTGGACGGGTGAAGTCTTTGGAAAACCATATACCTCAGCCAACCATTGGGCCGGGTAAGATCCAATTTGAACAAGATTTACAAATTGATTTGCAAATTGAAACACAGTTTACACTTTTTAAAATAATGTCAATTTATGTTATTTAAATACAAACTTGTGATGCAACAGGAGGCTGTAATGCCGGTATGATAGTTAGTACCACTAAACGCTCTCTTCTAAGTTGAGAAGTTCTACATAAAGGGCAACTCATCTGATGATCTGATTTAAACCACTGTTGTATACATACTTTATGAAAATCTAGAAATAAATATATTGATGATGAATTAGAAAATGTATGTTGATAACAATATTGTGTATTCTTCTTATTGATATTTTCCCGTTAATATAATTTTTAGCGATTCATGTTCACTATTTTAAAACATTTTGATAGAGATGTATATATCTAAAAGCAGTTCCCTGGTGACATTTAAGATACAATTTTCATAAGTTATGTCTTTTTAGATTGCTTACAAATATGACCATATTGAAATCTGAATTCCGCTCGATAATCGATACTCGGTTTGTGTTCCAAATCTTGAACATACGAAGTTTTCCTGTTTTTGTTCACCGACATGGAATGATTCAAAGGTTGACACATTGTATAGACACTTGTCTATTGCCAAAGACTATATATTGACATCTAGCTGTCCTTTGGGTTTTGTGTCGTTAGGTTACTTTCTTATTAATTTATGTCGGCCATATTTCATCGATTCCCATCTCTCATTTTATTTCATTTTCGTGTGTTCTATCTAAAAACGTTTTTTAAATGACATGAAAGAATAAAAATTATAGATTTGTGGTTCTCAAATTAGTCAATCACTTGGTATCATTATATCGAGGGTTTTCTTAAATGGGAGCAAATGTAATGCTAATTAAGAGCTGCGCTGTTGCCCATTATAGTGCATTAATAAGAATAAATCGCTTGCATACTTACAGTGTGAGCATTTAAGTTGAATAATAAGAGCCTCGTCTTTCCCCTCGCTACATATAGAACACTCAAAGTCTACAAAACAATATACTCGCACAATATACTATACATTTAATCATGTCACAACACGTAATAAAATCGCAACTTTTTTTACTACAGCAATTGACCATTTGTGTTCTCTATACTCTGGGGTTCTCCAAACGAAGTCAAGAACAAACATATGTCTCCTATAGATTTTAAGCCTGTTTCAAACATCGGAAAATAGAATACAAATAGAATAGAAAACACTATATAGTTTAAGAAGAATTACAGTGAAACAAGTTTTCCTACGCATTTTAATATAAACAAAGTATAATAATTATATAGGGACTATATATGGCAATTCCTTTTATTTCCTTTTCAAGTAAACTTATTCCTATCGTTTCATGTTACCATGAAATGACATATAATTATAAATAGCTTAAATGAATTAAAAAAAAAAATGCTTATAAATGTGGTGTCAGTAAAAGTGAGGAAATTCGGATAACAATCGTACGTGTAAACCATCATTGGCATCGTTATATGTTTCATTCTACGAAGAACTGCATGTATGTTTTATGCTTACCATGTGACACATCCTCATCAGGAATGGGTGTCATGACCTCAGTCTCTCTTGGGATATGTGTGATATGATGTGGTCTTGATATAGTCCAGTGTGTGTAAATATCATTGGAATCCGACAGTCCAACCTGTAAAGTTAGTAAATCTAACAACTCTGAATAGAGCTCACAAGTTCATATCCCTACTATCCAAATTGTATAGATATGGTAAGGTGTTCTTAAGATCCTTGTAAATCAAAGATGAATACAACAGCCTTTGTAGATAAGACCGTCAGTCATGTTCTAAACTTTTTATGATTTAACTTAAAAAAAAGGAAAAATAAAGTGCGCATCGATGAATGCTTCAAGTAGATTTGTTTGTTTGTAACAACAATTTACCTGACTTAAGGTAAACTCTAACATGACCCTTCCAATGGTAAAATCTATAACATCACCTTTCCAATGGTAAAATCTGACATGCCCTTTCCAAAAGTAAAATATAACACGCCCTTTCCATGTGCAATGGTAATATCTAACATAATCTTTCCAATGGTAAAATCTTACATGACCTTTCCAATGGTAAAATCTAATATGACCTTTCCAATGGTAAGATCTAACATGACTTTTTCAATAATGTATAAAATCTAAATAGTTTAGGATACCTTACCTTTTGTTTATAGCAGTAGTATGCCATTCCAATTATAAAGGCCAACACTGACGCTACTGTGGCTATCTCTAAGAACGCACATGTTTCTGAACTAACAATACCTCTAAACATAAATAGACGTTGTGATTTAAAGTACTGAAAATACTAATTATAGCTAACTTGACGTGGTTTTCACAAAGTACAATGTCAGGTGCAATTCGAAACAAAACAAATTGCAGTATCAAGGTTTTAGAATATAACTATTTCAACTAATATACCCTGGTATTGTTTGTTTAACGAATCAGGAATATTTTCGTACAACATGCAATGCATTTTGCGTATTTTCCCCCGAGCGGATTATCGTGCTAAACTGTTATTATTCTCCGCGTTTCATATGATTTTCGTGAAAGTAAATTGCACCTTTCAATGCGAGAAGACATTTTTCGTTTAACGTGAAGTCACATTTTTTGTTTTGTTTGGCCCTTTTCTCTCTTTACACCTTCTTCTTCTTTCCTTTCTGTCTCAAAAAAAAAGGATATAATATTCTCGAGTTGCGCAATAGACAAACAGACAACATGTTTGACATGCATGCATAATGTCTATTATTTATGATGTCTCTCATCATATAAATATTATGTTATTAAAAAATAACATAAATATACCGCTTTTATGATATGACAGGACATTTCATAAACAATTGAATATGTTACAAGGATAATGAGTTTAACTGTCATTATATAATATATACATATACCGTCATATATATATATAATAATGAGATGTTATTGCTAAATAATTGTCAACTACAGCTAACAAAAACAAATCAGTATTTTTTTTTACGCCATAGTCAATTACTACTTCGCGCGAGACTTCAAAATTTCATATTTTATAATCTACGAATAATTATGATTTATAAAGTGAATGGAAGTAATCCTTACATTTTAAGTATGCATAATGATGAATAAAGTATGGTAAATAAGAAAGCGCAGATTGTTCCTGACCAAAATAGACATGCTGCCCTCTCTTCTGTTAACGCCATTATCTGCCACTGGCACCTAGAAAATAAAAGTATCAACAATGTTTGAAATATTCAGTGAAAGTAGCGGGACGAGAGATAAAAGAATAATGCTATCCGTTTTCCCTATATTCGTTCTAATAAGTGTATGTATTGGTGTCAGACCATCAATTCAAATACACTATATAATCAACCAACTTTTTTAATGATCGCTGCAGCTTTGCCAATATTTTACCTTAAGTTTAACTTCATAGAAACGAGGTATATCCTGAATTGTACATGTATCACCCTTTCTATATGCCAATTGTCAACTGATTTTTAAAGTCTTGTAGTGAAACACGACCCTTCGGAAGTCAACTTCTACTTAAAAAACATAACACCTGGTTTTCAAGTCTGAAAATATGAAATAAGTATACTATGGACATGGCCCGGCGGGGGACTAAAGGTATACACTGACGTGCCGCTGGCTTGGGTCGCTTTTTCGGATTGTCAAATTTATCAATGGGGTGCATTTTCACGCAGACGAAATAACAATGTGGTAGAAATTTATACGTCAATGGGTCACAAAGGTTCTTCTCATGCTAAGATGTCTGTAAAAACTGTGTACTAATCTTTTTATGTAATTAAAATGAATGATCCCGTGTAGTTATTATCAAATTAGATTATTACGTACACATTGTTGGTCTAGCTGAAAGCTGAGAAATATATGAATTGGTTAAAAAAAATCCTATGAAATTTACATATGGGAAGGGATATTCGCAATAATCAATATATGAACGGGGGTGGTCTTTAAACTCCAGAAAGACATCTGTACTCAAATTTGTATGTTCAAAGCTCGGCGTCGTAAAACTATTTTTTTTTTCATATTTCGTGATCATTAAGTTCAGTTAATCTATCAGTTCACGCAAACAGATGTTTGAAATCTAGCTAAATCAGGACAAAATATTCTGGCAGTAGCGACCAATGAAAGATATCTGGCAAATGCGATCTTATTTGATTTAATCCATGGAGAAAACAGTTTTAAAGAGACAACATCAGATGACGGTTGATTATACAGCCTAGTACTAACTGATCTGAGAAGGGGACGAAGATATATAGTTATTGTTTTTGTTTAGAAATGAAAAAAAAAAATGGAATCTAGTACATAAATATAGACAGATAGTTTGTCTTTCTCAGTGTGTATATTTACACCAGATAACCACTATATTTCTATGTTTTAATCATTTATCTTAACAATTGGAAAATGTTTAATGAAGTTTAAAGCAGTCAAAACACCAAAAAATAGATAAAGAGAACTAATCTATATAAACCAAGGTTATTCGATTTGTTTAAACAAAAATGCTATGAATTCTTACTGATTACAATATGATTCGATTCGGGTATTGACAAAATGCACATCAAATATCATCTTTTAAATTACATTTTGGGGAATATTTGACTTTGAATTGCGTTCTTTGAGCATGATTAACTCCTCGCTGATGCATACAGTAATAAATGCAAAAACAAATCAACATATACACCATGTATAAATCTGGAAAGGTTTTAAAGGGTGCTTTGCAAGGGCAGCATTTTCAACGAAAACTTGAAAAATAAACACTGATCCGTAAATCAATTATCGACGATGGCAAGTCTATGCGTATCCTTCCGGAATACCTGAAACCTCTCCAAGCTTTAATTGCGAGCGTCTTTTTTGATTGCTTACCCTTGTATTGATGCTTTTGATTTGCCTCGTCTGATTATCCATTTAACCAGCCAGAGGTTGTATCTACTTAAAACTTACAGTGCAAATACACTGTGTTAAGAAATATCGTTGACTGTATAAAATAAACTGTACTCTTGGCCACTCGTTACGAGATATGTATTTATTAAAGTTGCTCGGGAACACGTGTATTTGTAAATTTAAGGCACGCGTGTGCTGTCGTGGCGAGCTGATAAACAATATAAAGGTGTTGATTTTTTTTTTCATTTTTATTTATGTTCGTTTTAAAAAGTATTGAATAAGAACATAATGATAGCAAATGTGTCTGTGATATTAAGAATGAGATCGGTAGAAAATGTGTCATGCATTTTGCCAGTAGAAATGTCCAGTGTTGACCATGTTTGCCGTTTAGAACAGTTACCAGATATGTGGTGGTGCTGTAGGTTTTTCATTATGTATGCTCTATATAAAAAATAAGAAGATGTGGTATGCTTGCCAACGAGACAACTCTCCACCAGAGTTCAAATGAAAGGCATGTAAGCAATTATATAAAACCGTGACGATCTTCAACAATGAGAAAAACCCATACCGTATGGTCGGCGATATAAAAAGAGTTAGGTGCTACTTAACGTTTACTACATTTTCTTGTATTCTCTTATTCGTTACCGCTTTCTTTACTGGATTCATACATTTTTAATATTTCTCTTCGGCATTTTCTTCACTGTCAATCTAATTTTACATTAAATCATTTCGAAATTGTTGACGGCACATATAATTCGGATTAATCCTTAAACCAACATTAGGCGCCACATTCTGTATGTGCCTGTCCCAAGCCTCAGGAGCCTGTAATTCAGTGGTTGTCGTTTGTTGCTGTATACCATATTTATTTTTCGTTTATTGTTTTGTACATAAATCATGCCATTAGTTTTCTCATTTGAATTGTTTACATTTGTCATTTCTGTAGCTTGCTATGCGGTATGTGCTTTGCTCATTGTTGAAGACCGTACGGTGACCTATAGTTGCTTACCACTACGTCATTTGGTCTCTGATGGAAAGTTGTCTCATGACACTCATACCACATTTTCTTATTTTTCTATGCAACTAGTCAACTGTTAGGTTGGTATGAATGTAGAGAAACGAGGGAAAATGTTACAACGATGCTTTCATAACACGGTTATGTACTGTAATTCTGTTTGCCTATAGACAGACCATATGGTCAACAAAATGCACGACCATATCCGAGCGAACGAACTCACTGGACTTGACTATATTTACCAAGTATCCTAATTATGTACCATAATTTAAATCTGTCAATGAACTTACTTGAAAATGAAATTCTTAAGCTTAATGTTCCGTTTTCCTTTCCACTCATAATGTAAAACACAAGTTTATAACCAAGGTTAAAATACGGACTACAACTACATAAGGTTAACATGTCTCAGGTATATTATGTCTCTGTCATATTCGTGTCACAATCATGAAATATATATATACCATAATTCATAATGTCATAAATTTATTTAAATGATCAATTTCACCTGCGTTAAATGTTATATTTACTTACCCATAGTGAATTCTAGTTACAGTTAACTGTAGTTATGTCCTTAGCGCAGACAAAACGCAGGTCACATTTTGCTTATTCGGTAGAGCAGTCATTAAAAGATCAGAAAATGGTCCTGTGGCTATCTTCGGTATGCAGAGCTAACTTTGATGTTGATGCTTTTTAAAATCAAATAGGTAAACAAAAGAATACATGCAAACGAAATCGTACCATAAACTGTTTTGAGTTCTTGACACAGTTTCTGTTATCAAAGCACTTCAATTTTTATTGGGCCTAACGTTTATTTACATGTTAAAATAACACTAGCCTACATCTAGGTCAAATAAATGACAACAAAAATATTGCCTTAAAGGACCAACATTTGACCGTATTCATCTTTACCGTGACTGTTACAAGACAACAATACATTTTCTTCTTAATTGTGAAAGGATATTTTATTGTTGCATAATAAATCTATATTTAGTTTGAATGAATACATATAAATATCATTATTGGTATTAGTTCCAGTGGCGAAAACAATTATTGAATAAGAACAATAAAATGCTGCTGAGTATTGACCACTTGTTCAGTGGAAAGTATTTCATAAACATTCACAACAAATTAAAGGGATTTTATAGTTCATTTCTCCAGAACTCATAATAAAGTATTTTATTCATATCTTCTTTAAGAATAATAAGAATAAAAATTTTATTAGTCTAAAATCCAAACAATAGGATTGTTACTAAATAAACAGAAAACAAAAAACAAACATATAAATAACAAAACGATAGACAGAAAACAATACAAACATGTAGCATTGAAAAAAATAAAGATTATAAATATTTATTATAATACTATTTTGACAACATGCCTCCTCTATAAAATTATCATTTCAAATATCTTGATTATATATTACATTATAATGATATATAAATCACCCAGCAATGTTTGACATGTATTACCACTCCCCTTCATAATGAGATTTCTCCACGAAAACTTTATTAGCTTTGTTTGCTTTATATTGTCTCATTTTTCTTGTACGTGAATAACTTGTATTCAGAACAGGAACAAATGCCTCTTATATGAAGTTGCATAAAACCTGCAAATGACAATCGTCTTGCTTGTACGATCACTACATCCACTTAAATTATCAGTAATCTTTAAACAAATAACAACCTGGTGCATTATGGCATAAAATATTGCATTACCTTAGGATGTGTGTCAATATAATACCTTGCTCCTATTTCCATATAAACCCAGTGAAAAGTACAATATTAGGAAAACCCCTAATTTGGCATATATATTTGAAAGATCTCACATAATAATGATCTGACCATGCGTACTACAAGTTTCACGTTGATGTGACCTCAGATGAATGGTAAACTATCACAAACAAAAACTTTAAGCTGGTACGGGACGGACAAACTGGGAAACATAATGCCCCTTAGTGAGACATAACAAGGTAAAATTCTGATAATCAACCCTTTTCAACTCCCAAAAAATCTAATCATTCCTTAAACATTTGACCACGAATTAATTATTTTCATCTGAATCCCATTTAAATATCTATTATATCAGTCAAACTACACGAATACTGAAATCCAGCCATTTTTTTACTCGAATCATCATGCATGCAAATAAATCATACTACTTGCATACTGTTTATTAGAAATATCCCAAAATATAATGACTGACGAATTTCTGCTTCTTCTACTATATCAGTGACTGCCTTTGAAATGCTGAAGTTTATGTCGTTAGATTTCAATTTCATCTTACTTTGACTTGATTGTAAGTGTTTTTCTCCACCGATTGTAATGGAAAAGGAGAGGATATTGGGTATACATCCATGACACAAAATCAGTACATGCACAGCAAAAATACACAAAAAGCAAAGGAACAGCGCTTTTATTGCTGTTCTTTATCTCAAAGTCACAGTGATGCCTTTAACACTGAGCAACTAAAAAAAACCAACACTCTCACCTAACTGCAAGTTTTTGACGGCCCCTAGAATCGGTTTGAGCGGAGGTCTTTGCTAAATTATTCTGATAGAATTTGTAAGATGTATCGCCACCAAATCGGGCTCGATAAAAAAAAAACCATTCAAATTCTGACCCAATTTCATGTGTTTCATCGAATACAATTTACCAAACTGCTGTAGAAGAACCAGAGTCAAGCCATCAATTTCAGAAGTACAATGTGAAAATAAAGCATGCCTACAATCCTTTTAGGTACAATTCCACTTCATGGTTATTTTTATGCCGCTTTTAATTTCTATACAAATTTATTGTAATAAGTAGAGACGGATCCAGAGGAGTGTCACCGGGTGCACGTGATATATACTCCACCCAGGTTGGCAAAATATGGTACACCATACAGGGTACAGAAATTAAATTTTGATTAATTCACTAATTATTTACTGTTCATTCTTAATATATTTCCAATACAATTGATTAACTTTAACAACATGTACCGTGACATGTATGTTTTTACAAGAAATGTATAATTAACTATCATTATGTTTATTCCATAAATGTATAATTAACTATCGTGAATTGCAAATTCAGTTCTTTGATATAGAGCCGGTGTGAAAATAAAGCAAAGGTTGAGGGCGTACGCCCCCATTTGATCGCCAAAAATTATAACTACCAATATAAAGTTTTTTCACGGTTTAAATGATTTATAAGCATACAATCGTCCAAAATTTTCTATATATAAGTTATGGAATTACGCCCTTCAATTTAAAAATCCTAGACGCGCCCCTGAAAAAGAATTTAGGGTCCTCAATGCTTTTAACTTCGTACTTTATTTGGCCTTTTCACTTTTCTGATTCAAGCTTCACTGATGAGTCTTTTGAAACGCATGAATGGCACACAATTGTAAGCCTGGTATCTTTGACTAGTTGTTTTATCCAGACGTTGAAAAATCCGTGTTGATCAGGACTGAAGTTATTGCACATGTGCATATCATGTCGAAAATCAATTGAATAATATAGATTGTAGTCGAATACTGGTATAAATCTGTCGAGCAGTAATCCCCGCCTCAGACTATTCAACAGGTCCACTGAAAGATGGGATTGCAGGGTAAACAAAACAAAAAAAGGCCTCGTAACAGGACATCATTGACCCCAAGAAGTTGTTGCAATGGTTTTTGTCAAGTCTGCGCTTTTGCGAGACATAGCGATCCTACATTCCGTCGTCGTCGTCGGCGGCGTCCACAAATATTCACTCTGTGGTTAAAGTTTTTGAAATTTTAATAACTTTCTTAAACTATCCTGCATTTCTACCAAACTTGAACAGAAGCTTGTTTATGATCACAAGATAGTATCCAGAAGTAAATTTTGTAAAAAAAAATCCTGTTTATCCGTATTTTACTTATAAATGGACTTAGTTTTTGCCAGTTAACATTACATTCACTCTGGTTAAAGTTTAAAAAAATTTAATAACCTTCTTTAACCATCCTGGATTTGTAACAAACTTGGACAGAAGCTTGTTTACGATCAAAAGCTAGTATCTAGAAGGAAATTTTGTAAAAATTTATTCCCTGTTTTTCCGTATATTACTAATAAATGGACTTAAAAGTTTTTAAAACATTTATTAGATTTTTAAACCATCCTGGATTTTTACCAAACTTGGACAGAAGCTTCTTACAATTAAAACATAGTATCTAGAGGAAAAGTTTTGATAATTTTTTCCCCATTTTTGTTGAGCCTGCAACTTTTGTCTTCCAGACAATCTATAGATTTGATTGCATACTGTATTCATTTTTTACAAGCATAACATTTTTAATACATTTCAAACGTTTTATTTCATTAACTGTAAATCTATTATGTGCATTCCTCTATCACACTGAAAACATAGACAACAGCAAAAGTAGGCGAGACACTGGGTTCTGCGGAACCCTTACGATTTTTTTTTATATGCAAACTGTCAGTGCTCTCCAAACACACAAAATTAAACTCAATATAATATACGTATGTATCCATTTTAACCAGATGCGACGATTATAATAATGCAGGTAGATGGGCATCTTCACTTAAAATAGGTCTATCTACAGAACTGTAGGTACATACAGGCCATAATCTTGCCGGCGAAATGACGATTTAAGTCGCCAAAGAATTTTGAAAATCGCTAAATCTCGCCGGCCGACTGACTTCATAGCGAAGTCAAATCGCTATCAAAATCGGTAAAAGGGAGACAACTTGTGATTGACAAGTCTCACAGGTAAAAAAAATGGCGGCTGACAAGGAAAATCGAGATTTTCGAAACGACCCGGGACTAATACTGTAAACGATCAAATAAATAAATACAACGGCGACTTTGAACATCCTCGGATATAACTTTCAAAACTGTTCAAACGGAAAACTGACCGTCTGTTTAAGTTATCGTTTTACGATGATTTTCATCTAAACATGTTGCTTAATCACTCAGCTGATTTGTTTTATTTTTATTGCCTACACGAGTCGATCAATTTTACTATTCGGTAGGTATAGGGTGGGAATTAACGGTAGATTTATTATATTTATTGAATGAAAATTGAAATATAAAAGGTAGAAAGACAGCTGATGGATAGATAATGTGATTGCAAACGTACGACACTCGACCAGATTGTGATCAGCAGTGGATTTTTTCTCATGACCACTTCGTTGATATGGATGATATTTTTTTAAAAATGACAGAAATTAGCTCTTTATCGGATAATTAACTTGAGATTGAAAGATATTTTCATTTATAGACTTACAATCTTTAACGATAATCTCAATTTACTACAACTACATAAATGTCCTGGACATTCAATAATGTTTTACAAAACAATGACAAGTGGTGATATAAATTAAATTCCCAGTCATGTGAAATTCATCATATTTTTCTGAAGTTTTAAAAATAAATTGAGGCAGATACACATGAATTTAATGCATCATAATCTTGATAATATTACTAATTGATTATGAAAACACGATGCAACCGAAACGGTAATGGAATCTCACTTCTCCAAGAAGTTGACCACTTCTCCCTTCTCTCTCATGGAAGGAGAAGTCACTTCTCCCTCTTCAGAATCCTAGATTAGGCCCTGGGTACATATGACCATATTTATATACCCAAGTAACCCCTGCTAGTGTCTACAGTAAGGGGTGGTTCTCCAGATACTTTGGATATCAATTAACTTTATTCTTTTTCCAGTGTAGGCCTTTCTTTACTTTTAAAATACTGTCGTATTGTTGTTTCCTTAGTTAATATTTCTCATTGTACCATTATCTCATAAAAGAATAATAAATTTATTCATTTCATACAATGTTCATAACAATAACACTTATCCTTAAAGTCTGAATGATTTCTTTCACATGAAGAGGTTATTCAAAGTTTTGCATTATTTATATGGGAAGACTACTTCTCCATACTATTTTATAGTAAAACGTAAAACAAAAGTTGCTTAGTTGCATATTGTCATGTAAATCTATAGCACAATCAATAAGACTAAGTGTTTTATATTCTGACTGTGTCTTTTCATAGTAAATGAAGATTGATGGCAATTTAACGTCCAGGGCAAATTTAATGCAAAAACAGGATGAGAACATAATGAAATATGAATATGAACACAGTTTAGCACTGGACAGACACACAGTGTGATGTTTAGTGTGCTCATTCACAAGGTAACAGTTGCCAGGAGGTCATTTCACCCTACCAAGACACATTATTCTGATTGCGAGCTGACCTGTCTTAAAAAAAGTTTGCTCTACACCTTAATGCTGCATGGTTAGCAAGGAAGAAGCTAAACCCAATTTTAAAGCCTTTGGTTTGATCCAGTCAAGGATGGAACCATCGACCTCTTGCAGTTGAGAACATGGAGGAAGGTTCATGTACTAGTAAATGAAGATGGTCTGGACTTATTCTCTCTAGAGAATTTTCTGTCTTATATATTTAAATACAGCATAAAATATTAATGTGGTACAAACCAATTTTATGGCAACCAGTCAATTCAATTTTAATCTAATCAAATGCAGTTCACAATACTGTTATACATTGCACTTTGATATCACTCCAATAGTCCCATTTAAGCAGTTTTCTTTTCCAAACCTGATATTTTTGAATTATTCTTGATAAAATTAAAATGAATTGACCAAGTGCAAGAAAGTTGGTTGAAGATGTTATATTATTTCCTGAGTGCATGTCATCTTTCAATATATGTCTGAAATATATGGTAGAAATATGACTACATTGTATATGTATATATTTACCGTTTACGGTGATCAAAACTTTTCTAAAAAAAAAATAAAAAATTAAGTCCAGGCTTCAAAAATTTCTTCAACATTATCTATCAAAATTTATTTTTTCACTTTTTAATCAGTGTTTACACTACATTACTATACAACACATATTCATATTTAAGACTTAAAAAAGTACAATGTAATAAAATGTACTTTATAGAGGTGACAACTATAAAATCACTTAAGTTCCAAGACTTGAATATCACAAAATTGTATTTTGCTTTTAGGTTAAAGTGAGTGAAAATGCCAATTGTAAATGGAGTTGTCTAAACTCAGTTGCATTTTTTTCACATCAGTTAAACATCATGAATTTACATCTGATCATGCATCCAAATATCAAATGTATTAATTTCTGCATTTCCAATGATCAAGTAGAAGTTTTCAAGGCATTTTGCAGAGAGTAGAACTGGGTTTGTAGAAAAGAAATGAAAATGTTCAGTTCTACTACTCTTATACTAGCCAAGCTTTTATCATTGAGTCCACTGCTGTATAACAATGCAAAAAATAAAAAAAAAATATCAGTAGCCAAGGTCATATCTTAAGGACAGTGGCTTACTGGGTCCCAGCTCATATTTCATACCTGGTACAAAGACCTTACCAATCACCATCTTGTATTTAATGACACATCCCCCCCCCCCCCCCCCCCCAAAAAAAATACTTAGACCTGTATATTGCCAATAGCTCTCTATTTGTGGCCAAGAGATCTGGCCTTGCGGTCATAAAACTTTCGAGCACGATTTTCTTACTCAGACTCAAAAATCAACCAATCAAAATCCTGGATTTGGTGTTTATAGCACAAATTTTGTACTCCGAGTACTGAGTAAAGTTTTATGACCTAGAGCCCAGAAAAAATTACTAGAAACTAAAATGACATAATGCCTTTCACTATCCTTTCAGAGAAATGTTTTAATGTAAGGTTAATAGGGGAATTCATTTCTTTTTCATTAAATTGCCCAAATCTTACAAATAAAAACAATTCATGATGACAAGCCAGTTGATTCTTAATTTTCTCCTACTATTTGTTCTCATTCTAAAATTTTATTAAATTAATATGAATGTTGTAAAATTTGCATCAAGTTTGAAAATCAATGGCAACATTTCATATATATAAACTTTAAAGCAAACAATATTATTATTAATATAAAGTATACAAATGTGTGAAAAGTTGTAAAATGAAGTTTGTTTTCATGTTTTTAATGATTATATTGATGTATTTACATTATGATGCAGCACCAAACATTTACAATGACATAAAACACAATGTGCACAACATTAGGACTAATTGATCATTTTATATTTCAATGAATTCTCACTACTATTTCATGTCATTTAAATTGGATTGTTCTTCTGAAAACATTTTTCCTAGATCATTCATAGCATGGTCATTCATTTATACGATTCTTGACACCTGTAATCCTATTAAAGATCACATTAAGCCTGAACATCTCTCCATTGAAAATCCAAGTTGATAAAATAAATGCTTCACTGGATGTCTGATATGATATGAGCTATGAGCATGGTCAAAATGACATGATGAAATGAATGAATTATAATGGTCAGATCTCAGCAATAAAATTCTTTGTTTCCAGTTCAAATTTAAGAGGAACACAAAGGGAGATAATCTATGATGATGATGATGATGGTAATGGTTGAGGCTGTGAGTCAACTGCCATTGGTTCAGGCTGTTCTAGCTGCATTTCTTCAGGTTTCTGAGAAAGTCCTATAAAATACAAAGATATATATAAAAAAAAAAAAAAAAAAAATTTTTATAAGCAATAGCTTGTAAAATAATTATGAAATGTCAATAATTATCATATATCTATATATCATATGATAATAATTTATTGTTAAATATTTCTATCAATTATTCTCATAATATAATATATAATGTCAATTACTTTTTCAGATCAATAAATTTGAAATTTTTTAATAAACATAACCATTTGCACAAAGTACACAAACAATGTGTGTAAATAAAAGTGTTGATTTATTAGGTGGGCACAACTGATAATTCTAAAGTCTTAGAGTTGTTTTCAAACAAATATATTGTTTTCATACAAATTGAAAACATATGACAGAATCAAATGATTAGTCTATTAGCCAATAAAAGATCAGTACTGTAAATATTGAATTACAACTTACATAAACTGCTTTGCCGAGCGCAGCTGGATACGACCGCAGAGGTCCAACCCTGAACAGTTGGGGCAAAAATGGACACAATATTCAAGCTTGATACAGGTCTGAATTTGGATTGTAATTAAATATTTGACACATTATAGGTTTCTGACACAGAGTAAATGTGTCAAAGAACTTGAAATTGGTTGGAATTTATATTCAATTGAAGATTTCTTGCTGTTGTGCAATACACTGTGCTGTTGCGCAATACTTAGTAAATCTGTTTTCAGACTATATACAAAGAATTAGCAAAATAAATTGTGACCCCCCAATTTTTTTCTTTGGAAAATTGACAGTTTCTTAAATCTTGAGGAAAAAAAAATTGACCCCCCAAAATTTTTTTTTTTACCCCCCCGCCCCCCCCCTCCAAAAAAAAAATATTTGAAGAGAATGTGGTACAAATTAAGTGACATCCATACACTTCAACACAAGTTATTGTCTGAAAACTAGAAAAATGCTTGTTTTAGACCCATTTTGGCCCCTTATTCCTGAACAATTGGGACCATCACCCCCAAAAACAATCCCAACCTTCCTTTTGTGGTATTGAACCTTTTGGTTAAATTTCATAGAGATCCATACACTTTAATTAAAGTTATTGTCCGGAAACCAAATGTCTTCAGACGACGCTGACGCCAACGACGTGATACCAAGACACGACCGCAAATTTTTTGCGGTCGTATAAAAATCATCAGTATAGAACATTCCATTGCTTAAAAAAATGAGAACTAAACCCACCTTCTGGCGGTACATCTGTATTTCCTACTGAAGCTGGTAGAGGTACATTCTGTGTCTGAGGTTGGGTGGGTGGATCTGATGGTGCGGACATGAGAGGGGCTGGTGATGCTGATGTAGGAGGTGCTGGAGATTCTTGTGATGCCTGTTGTGCTGCCTGAGGACCAGGTGGAGGCATTGGAGCCATAGGCGAGCCTGTCATTGGATAATTAACTGCTGCTGCTAAGCTGGCTGAAGCTGCAGGTAAAGGGGATGGAGCTGGTGAACCTGAATATACAAAATTATATACTTACTATATAATAATAGCTTCAATTACTTTTAAAGATTTACAAGATGCTGCCAAAATCAGGAAAAATCTGAACTGACTCCACTGAAATTTGTCACAATAAAGTTAAACAATTGTAAATAATTAAACATAGGATTTTTTAATCTTATAAAACTGACAGAGAATAATAATATCAGTCATTTTTAAGTCAGTAAATACAGTAACAGGAATTTTGAGTAGCAAATTTAAAACAATCTAAACAGAATGGACAATATCAATGACTATGCATCTGAATTAATTTATAGTGATCAAATCTCTCCAATTATCATAATGTATGATTTTTTAAACATGCAAAAAGTTTCTAGCTTGAATAAAACTGTACAAGTCACTAATTAAAGCAAGTAAAGCTTTAAAGGATAAAAGAATGTAATTTTATTTCTATTTTTTATTGTTTGTGTAGTCTTCCCCCCTTTTTTGTTGACAATGTAAAGCAGTATACCTGGTTGATCTGATGTTGAACCTTGACTTCTCTGTTCTGTGACTAACTGTTGCATGGCCATCTGTCTTGCTCTGTGTTCAGCAGCCTTGATTTGTTCCATGTGGAACTGTTGTCTCTCTTGTAACAACTGCTGTCTTTGGTACTCAAGCTTAAAATGAAAACAACACTTTATGAATTTGTGTGTCTGAAGTTTTTTTCTGAAATAACCTTCATCAGGAAAGCTCAAACATGAACATTTGAAAGCAAGGGATGCATAAATAAACAGTAATGTACGAAATTATATGACCAAAAATAACCGAAAGAGAATAGCAAATTTTATCTAAGATTAACTTTTTTGTGAATGAGTTTTAATCTTAGTTTGTTAATAATTTCTTAGTATATCAACGGTGATTTTAGAACAATGTTATATAAAAGTCATGTCAGTACAAAAGCACTGACTACTGAGCTGATTTAAAAACATATTAAAGACATTGCTTTAAATGAATATATATCACACATTTAACTCTTCTCAAGGACATAACTAAAAAATTAAAAAGGATTTTTGTATCTGTGGATGCATATTTTCAGCTCCATTTATATTTATTTGCTTCCTGTGAATTAATGAAACATTGAACAGATAAATTTAATCATCAAAATTCCTGGTTATAATATTTTTTAAAGTTTTATACAAATTTTTATAAAAAAATCTGAATAAATAAATCCTTACAGCATCTCTTTCCCTGTCCATTATAGTTTCTAACTCTTCAAAGTGTCGTAGCTTGATTTCTAACTTTTTCATCTGTGTTTCTACCAACAGGGCAACTAAACTTTTAATTTTCCTTTCTTCAACAGCTGCAAGATGCTGAAATATTTAAATAAAAATATATATAACAAGTTAAATAATTGTTTAACGAAAGCATGATTTTCATTATTTTGTATTCAACATGTCTTCACTCAATACAAAAGCAGAAAATCAAAATATTATTATCGATGTAATTATGATTAGCTGCACCACATGGTTGAATATATGATTAAAAATATTTGGTCAAGCATTTTACCTTAGCTTTCACAGCAGCTGATGAAAGTGCTGCTGCAGCAGCAGTTGCAATATTCCCATCTGGTTTCCAAGCAACAACTTCAGTTTTTTCTTTATTTTCTTCTTCTTTATCCTCTGTCTTTACGTCACTATCTGTTTTCTTCTCTTGTTCTCCTTCTGCTTTGGTCTGATTTGTAATTTAAATAAGAAAACTATTTTTAAAGCTACAAAAACTTGAGATCATTAAACAAGAAAACTAACGAATTTCCAACTTCGTGAGCCAAAACAGCATTAGAAACTGATTTCCAATGATTTTATTTGAGATTTTAAAACATTTTCTTAACTGTCGTCATATTATAAGGGCTATTCCATTAAAATGTATGTGGGAGGGTAGGAAGGGACTTTCAAAATATCCCTACAACCAAGAACCATTTTTAGATAATTTTGCATAATGGTAATAGAGGCATACTGAAAAAAGACCCATGACCCACATTCAATATTTAAACTTCCCTTCCTACCCTCCCACATACATTTTAATGGAATAGCCCTAATGTAAATTTCACAAAACTGGGAAAAGAGTAATTGTAGACAATTATGTGTTTTGGTTACTCTAACTGATATCTCTGTTCCAAATATTCCATGTGCATTTATTTTTTCCTATAAAAGAAGATATGATTGTTTTTGACTACTGAAATCTATGTTGCACGAAATAAAATTATCTGTTTTCATAAAAGTTTCTCATGGTTTATTTTTTACAAATATTGGAGATGATAATATATTGCATACCTCTTCCTTTTCTGGTTTTTCCTCTTTCCTGCCTTCCTCTTCTTTTTCTTTCTTTTCTTCTGATTTGTCATCTAGTTTTTCCTGGTCTGTTTCCATGGATTCTTCAGACTTAAATCAAGAAAAATACATCACTTTTAACAAAAGTATTTGATTAAATTAAGCTATTAATGAAATAATTAAACCATGCATTTACATGTTTTAAAAAACATCCTACATCTTTACCTAAATACAAAAATTTCAAGAAATGCTTCCCTTCCATTCTATTGCAGTCATTTCTATAACAGCCAGCCTTATTACATATTCTAAACTGACTTGTTAACAAGCTATTCCGTTATCTTTACTTCAATTTGTTATTTCCCATATTAATAGCTGAATATGATTGCAATAAGATAGTCAAACACTATACTGGTTCATACCATCAATTCTGTATGTGGTGCATACAAAAATAAACTTTCTCTACTATTTTTCAAACTGGATTTTTTCTAAATGAGAAATATTGTGTCAAAATTTTGAATTATTTCAATCACTTTTTAAAAAGAATTTATTTCTCAAAAGAAATTAATGGAGTGTGTTTCTTTTGTTGTTAAGTATATTTCTTGCTTTTATAAGTTTAAACAAATATAAAATTGTGAATGTCAAAAGGTAAATTTTAATGTTAATGTTGTGTTTAGTAATCTAACTAACCTTATCTTTCTCTTTTCCTTCCTCTTTACTTTCATCTTTCTTTTCTTCTGATTTTCCTTCCTTGTCCTTATCTGCTTCCTCTGTAAAAAGATAGCACCTCATAACACTTATGAATACGACCTATCTAGTATAGAATATAACTTAAAAGAGTCATTCTCCTAAACTATTTTCCTTTTGTCTAATATATGTGGTTGCACTTCAGTGTGGATTTAAAACAGTAATATAATAAAACATTTAGGAAACCACAATTTTGTGCAATGCTCAGGGTATATAAGTTATTTCAATAAAGAAAATAACTATGTAACTGCCATGTTAAGCTTTGTCAGCAAGGGCCCCTGCGTTCACATTTTATGAGGTACTGAAACAAATAATTAATACAGTTGAAAACAAAGCAAAACATGTTCATGGGGTATCAATTTTCATTCATTCAGGATGTTTCATTAAAAAACACAAAATTTTATTTTTCAATGCTTTTCTGAAAAAAATAACTGTAAAATGGAAAGCAATATTTTTGCTTATTTTTTTGGCATAGTGTTCCTTAATGAATAGGCCTTAAAGTATGGTGAAAATGAATTCATACAAGTATTGGCCATAGAAAAAGCTGTATAGAATTTTCTTGTCAATATAAATGCATTAAAAAAGATGTAATGCATTTATGTAAAAAAAAAAACTTTAAATGTCTGAAATCCCTGATATGGAGCTAAATAAGCTGCAGTGTATTTTAATGCAACACCCTAGTGCAGCTATTCTCACAGTACATCTAAATAAATGCTATATGATTACTGTCATATATGAAATATTTCATGCAAAAAAGCAAACAGTCTTCATTCTGCAACAAATCATGTGCCCTGTCAATAGATTTTGCATGCTTAAATATACAACATGTTTACTTTCCTTTGCATATATTTTCAAATTCATGTAGCAACGTTGTGAAAACAACACATTGTATTTTGACCCATTATTGTCTGCCCTTGCTCCTGTATAGTATGCCCTTAACAGGCAAAACAAAAACAAAAACTACCCACCTTCCTCTTTTTCTGGAGCAGTTCCAGCAATACCACTTTTCTCAAGACCAAAGTTCTGGTCCACATCTTTCCCTTCTTTAACTGCTTCTTCAACAGTCTTCACATGGGCATCTACTAAAGCAGGAGGTACTTCGTCCTTCATCTTAGAAAATTGTTCTATAAAAATCAAACATAATCATTTTGTACTATACCTTACACAACAAATTTGTCACAAAAAAAAAAATCTGAATGCTACAATCCATTTGGTTGATATTGTAAATATATCAATATTTCAATCCTCATTTTGAAGTGTTCTAAAAAAATATTTGATTGATTGATTCATGTTTGTTTTGATGTACTGTGGCAAGTTAATGCATATTCAGGATGAAACATGTCAATTTAATGTTTTCAAGATGCCTACTTTATGCTAGACTGACAAGCTGAGCTGCATTTCTCTTCAGTCTAGTTCACTCTTTAATCTTGAGGATACATTTACAGCAATAAGCTCCCTTGCATTAGATATTGTGTCATGAGTCATACTCATTATCAGTTGTTTTCCCATTCAATTATTCTAATAAATTAAACTATTTTCTATCAATGAACTGTTTTCTCAGTAGTACAGCAAGATGGCTTGAGTATAAGATTGTGACATTCCTGTACCATAAAAACATTGGCAAGTAATACAAACCTAAAGCTGCTTTAGCTGCATGTACCATAAAAACATTGGCAAGTAATACAAACCTAAAGCTGCTTTAGCTGCAGATGATGCTATTCTCGGATCCACAACTGAGGCTAAGAAAGCTACTGTTGACATAATAGGGTTACCACTTTGTGAAAATGGTACAGGCTGGTATGCTAATGGACCTGTAATAAAAATATTTGACAAATAAAAATTAGGTAATGGCAAAACATACAATTTATAGTGCGTCTGTATGTCAATTTTCTCTCAATTACTTATCTGAAATAGAATGTAAATACTGTAAATTGTAAAAAAAAATCATTAAATTAATTTGTGATTTAATTTTAAAGTAAATCTGAAGCCTAATCAAATTTGTGTAAATGAAATTTGCCTGTGGTGCTATATAATATATCAAGAAGTAATTGTTTTTCTTATTCTTTACTTTAATCAATCTAACATTACCTAAATGACCAAAGTCTTCTTCCATGAACGGATCTTCTATAGGCAGTCTAAGGAAATGAAGTATACATTCATCTTGTGTCCGACTGCCAACATGTTCACTGACTTTATTCCAGTCATCTTTATACATCTCCAAGGCCTCTAATAACAAAAGAGTCTCCTGGTCGGTCCATTCACGGGAACGTGTTGCTGCTCCTTTATCCTAAAATATTGTAAAACATTAATACCTTCTACATAATACTTTACTTTAACATTTTCTATTTATAAAAAACCCAAAGAATTATTATAATATTCACAAACACTAATAACATTTTTCTACACATTGCTTTTTTCAAAATTTCAAAGTAGACAAAATATCTATTTCTAATGTCTGAATATTTCCTACTGGGGTGATGAAGTTCTGTTCAAATAATTTGCTGAATGAAGTTACAGCCCACTGATCCATTGACCATATTTTTTTTGGTATCCTTTATTTAAATTTACTGGATACGTACAATTTAAATCATGTGAGTAATTACCAATGAAACAGTATCAAAATACTTACAGGTTCTCATGTTAAAGGTAATAAAAGAAATTACAGTTTACTGTGACAAACAAATGTATATCTTACCTTTAGAGCCTTTTTACTGTACTGGTCCATTCTAAGACTAAAGTTAGATAACTCTTTCCTCTCATCGTACTCCCGACCATTCTCTTTATCATCAAAGTTTACAATCTGTTTAGCTGCTGATGGCTGTAAAGAAATCAAATGTTTTTAGTGAGGTTTTTTTTATATTCTTTTTTTTGGTTTTCAAATAGAAAACTGACAACTAAGCTCTTAATTAAATGATTTCTAAATTGATGCTATTTAAGAAAAAAGATATACTGTGAGCTGAGGCTCACTAATTATACACAAACTTAGAAAAAGGGTATGACTTGTAGTTGCTGAGAAAAAAATAATTATGTGCAAGACATGTTTGGCAGAAGTAAACAACCTCTTTTAAACCAGGGGTATAATAAAAATAAAGTTTGGATACTATAGGAAATATTTTCAATTAACTCTTTGATCTATTAAAAAAGTACAAGTTTTCAATTTAAACTGCATTCCCATTTGTTATAGTTAATGCAATGAGCAACAGAGAAAATACAGATACAATATATTAATTAAAACAGTGTTCTCCCCAGAAATTTTGGATAGCATCACATTTGGCGTAAAAGAAACAAATTGTATGTTGTCAATGTCATTTGTCGAGCCGCGGTGATGCTTTATTTCCTTTAAATATAATGTTTATATTGTTCAAATCATAACTGAGTTTAAACAGCTGTTTCAGTTTATGTCTTCCATATTCATTTATAGTTACATAATTATATTTTTCCTCTTGTCAGAAACTACCAACTAAATATATAGTACAAAAAAGATTTTTTTTTATATCAAAAAATAGTATCCCATTTCAATTAAATTTCAATTAAAAGACTATTCTGTTTATCATGTTTATGAAATTCATTGTTTCCTGGGACTCAATGTATTAGTCCCAGTTGTTTCTTATCAAAAAGATATATATTTTTAACAAAGTTAAGCTACTTTAATTGGTAAATTGAAACAATGCATTTACATAAAAATAAATACATTTAACAAGGAGATACAACAAAAATAAAATTGGGAATAACAAAAAGTCTGTTAATGCGTGTGGAATGCATATTTTTTTCTTTATGGGATCATTATTATTCTGTTAGCTGTTTTCAAAATGCGGATTTTGGTCAAAGCTGGTCCGCTTCCGATGAATCCCGCATCCGATCCGTATTTAAATAATATTTCAATGGCAGTCAAAGAAAAATTAACGAAAATAAACAATGTTTGACAAGCGATTGAAATGAATATGACGCTTTTAATACAATAAATGGATAAAACATTAACAAAAGGCAATTTTCATCATGTTCTAATACAGTATCAAACTTATTTTGCCGAAATTCAGAATGTTTAATATATGCTCTCGAGTAACAAGTACCGGAAGGGAAAGAAAATACTTCTTTAAAAGTTGTTAGTATGAAATAACATACGACCAATCTGTAAAGTCAGTGCTTTCACCTCTTTTCAAAAGGAATTAACTCGTTTATATCTTTTTGAATAATTTTTACTTATTGAAAAATTGCTGTTAATTCGACATTGCATAATTTTACAACTTGGTTATGTCAGCCATTTTGTCAACATCGAGGTACCCCGCATATTTTTTTTCATCTCTTGGGAGACAGTTATGCCATGGTGCAAAGATCTGCAAACGTAGATTTCGAGTTGTTTATGACTTTCTGATTCGATTTTCTCAATGTCAAAATTTGCAATTGGACCACGTGTTATTAGTCATGTCATAAGTGTCAGCTTGAGGTAATCGTATCCAAACAGTTATCACCCACAGGGCAATTAACACTTATTTAATCACTCTTAATTGCCTCTATTGTCCGACTTGAATAGATTAAAATTAAAGGTGATTTAATTTTTATTATCACAAGCGGTAATTAGATGAAAGTTCAAAAATTAGGACATCGCATATTTTGCGCAGTAATGTATAGAGAAAAGAAAAAATAAACAGCTGCGCCATGAGCGCATGATACGCCTGTCGCCTTGTGTGTGAATTTTTATGCAATAATCATAAATAGTTTCTGACATACGGCCTGACATGCGAAAACCCCCTTTTTTTACAAAAAACTCGATATCTCTAAAATAAAATTTTGAATCAAAACCAAAAAGTATACAGATCTTTAGATTAATATAACTAAGAAGTGTGTAAAATTTTAAGCAATAATCATAAATCGTTTTTGAGATACGGCGCGACATGTGAAAAACCCCTCCCCCCTTTTTTTACAAAATACTCAATAACTCAAAAATAAAATTTTCAATCATCACCAAAAAGTATACAGATCTTAAGATTAATATAACTAAGAAGTGTGTAAAGTTTTAAGCAATAATCATAAATTGTTTTTGAGATACTGCGCGACATGTGAAAAAAACACACACACCTGTTTTAGTTACTAAGTCCCGTAACTCAAAAAGTTTTAATCTTATTTTCACCAAAAAATAATCAGATTGTTTGACCATCATAAGAAACAACAATGTTAAGTTTCATGAAATTTGGATAAGTCGTTCTCAAGTTACAGTGCGACATGTTTACGCCGGACAGACAGACGGATAGATGACATTTGTATACCATAATATGTCCCGTCAAAATTTTGACGGGTGTATAAAAATAGCATCCTCAAAATAATTATAGTGTCGCGGAATTTTTTATAGCGTCATGGATAAAAATTATAGCTTCATGGTGCCGCAACGCTAAAACGGCCTGGGGAGATCACTGATTAAAGCTCTATGGCAAGCCAAGTATTATATGTTAATGAAATGGCTGTAAAATTTGAACACATGTGTACTTTTCCCTACATCATGAAAAAGACAGCACAAACCTGATTGATCTTTGGTGGATTGACAGGTTGTAAACCAGATGGTGTGTCTGCCATGATGTGAAAATGTGATGTGGGTGGTGGTCCCATTGATGATGGTCTGTTTTCAGCATCCACTTGATAATTAAGAAGTCCCCATTGCTCTAGGAAAGCATGCACTCGAGTTATTGCACAAACGTCTCCAGCTAAGTTTCTACGACAGGCAGTACTGGTAAGGTATTCTGTTGGATTAAGTCTGTATGTATCTATCATGAAGTTTCTGTATGCTACTAATCTGCAATACAAATTATTTTTACTTTATTAAAGAAATTTTCATTTTACTTCCTGTATTAGCAGATGAAGTCTTGTCGGGATCAGGGTAAATTCAGTAAACTAAATTACAAACCTGTTGTTTTTTAATCTTATTTTCAAGTGTGAATCGTATACTGTGGATTCATTTATTTTCGTGGGTACCAATTATCGTGGATTGCGGAAAACTTGCCTTTTCGTGGATACGTGATTTCGTGGTTTTGCCAAAGTCTGCATGCAACCTGATAGAAATTTGTATTTCGTGGAATATTTAAATTCGTGGTTCACCTGTACCAGCGAAACCCACGAAAATTGGTACCAAACGAATAATAATGAATCCACAGTATATATTTAACAACATACGGATGATTGATTACTAATTATCAAAAAGTAAAGAAACAGGTATTTTTCATAACATCAAATATTTCTGTTGACTACATAACTTTCTCTGACATTTTGGTTATACAAAAGAGGAATCAACTTTACTATTCAAACATAAACACACAGTATTGTTATCAGATTTAATATAGGGTTCATCCTTAGATGTTGACATCAACATTAACTTACATTTCAGGAGTTTTAGATTTATTTCTTCCATTGAAGAATTCTGGTAAGGCTCGTTTCTCTATGGCATGTATAGCATTATAATCAAACCAAGAAGCATAACTTGGTACAACAATATGGTGGGTCTGTTCCGTCACATTATCATCGTCATCCTCAACTTTGGTCTCTTCAACTTCCTCCTCTGCTCTTCCTTCATCTACAAACTACAACAACAAAATTGGACTTAAAATAAAAATTGTGCTTCTTAAAAACTTATTTTATTACCTATCATTGTGGTAATTTTAAATGTCTAATTTACATAACATTTAACAGCCTGTCCAGAACAAATCAATTTATAATCACAGACAAGCTTACCTGCCATTCAAAGACAAACTTTTCTTACATTTTCTTTACCAGTAAATGAATTTTCTGTTCTTCAAATTAACTTTCATCTTTTTAAATATTTGATAATGAATCTCTGTTTAATCTACAGTGGCCTATTAAATGCCTATTCTGCACGAAAACATGTTAATGTGATATGAATTACTGAGTAACAATGCTGTTTTGTACTAGTCTGAAACACACTGAGTCAGATTTTTAACATGCTAGTTCACAAGGAAACAGTCACGAGTGTCACTGGGTTAATCATTTTCATCAATAATAAAAACTTATATTGATGTAATAGATTTAACAAGATATATCATGAATAAGAAAAATTATCTGTAAATATTTATTATGAAATTGTGTACTATTACCATATTAATTTTTTACTGTGGACATGTTTATTTTCATGTATACCAATTTTTCGTTGGATTGAGGGAAAACTATTTTCGTATGAAATATTTGAATTCGTGGATTTGCCAAAGTTTGCATGCAAGCCTATAGAAAATTTGTTCACCTTTATCTACAAAATCCATTAAAATTGATATCCCATGAATAATAATGCATCCACAGTATATTTTTCACACCAAATCAAATAAGAAGATATTCCACAAACCTTATCCACTGATTCCTCATCTAAATCTATCATGGTTCCTCCTTTGATTGGTTGATTTTCACTGTCCTTCTGAGTTCTGCTGGCTACAAGTACATATACCAATCACATTAACAGTACTAACTTCTCCTCCATATAATGAAGTTTTTGTAATAGAAGAAACTTTGTGATGTTTGACATGCAAAGAGATTATAGCTATCCCAGGTAAAAAAAAAAGGTTGGATTTTCCCTTATGAATAAGGTGTAATTTAAAAGAATTAATTTTGAATAGAGCTGAAGTTTTATAAGACTTGGCACAGAGTAGTTTAATTTACAATAAATGGTGTGATTGTGGCCTTATTTCCCAATGTGAATGAAGACAATATTAAAGTATTAATAAGTGTGCTGTAGTTAGCTAAGAATGTTTTTTTTATTCTGACCAAAATTAATTATCAATTGTAAATCATAAGACAATTACCTGGAATAGCAAAGCTAACAGAGTTATTGAAGTAGATAACTTAAGCTAAACAAGTATCCCGCTACCACAGAAAAATTAAAACTAAAAACTAGGAACATAATAATATAACATTTTTGTGCTTTTTTAAGTTTTATAACAACACTGAAAACAGCATTTGTAATAAAAAAAGGTAAATCAACATCAGAATTAAGGTCTGTTATGTTTTTTTTTAAATCCAAATGACAGTGTTTATAAAATAAAAGATCAAAGGAAAAATTCAATTATGTTTTCATGAAATATGTAGCATGAACCTGTATTTACTCCAAATAAATGGTCAAGAGTGAAATTGAAAGAGACATATTCTTTAAGTTATTAATCACTAATACAAAATGCTGTTTTCTGTGAAAAAAGATTAAATTTAAAAACTAATAAATCATGCATATATAGACGACACTTCTGTAAATACAGTGCATTATCTTTAAATTCATAACTCTTGATATATGACAGCCAATTAGAGATTCCAGTAATAGCAGTAGTGCTCACCAGACAATACCCTTTTTTTTATTTCAAGGACCTTGAATAGAATTCCATGTAGATCAAATTTAGTAAAGGGTCCAGGGTTTAATAATTTCCATATAAACTTTTGCCCATACCTTCCCAACCGAAAAATGACATTCCATAGTAAGTTTTAGTCACCTTAAGATGTGTTAATGTAAAATCAACAGGTTTTTTTGGAAGCATACCACATCAAAGTTGAAGGGTACATACTGGAACTAAACTTATAGAATACTTATCCACCCAAAGCTGGTACAAATTGGAATACAATTATATAAAAGCATACATTTTGTTTAAATCTAGTTTACAATTACAAACATGGACACCTAAGAATGATAATGCTCAACACAGGTCATAAACTAAATCCCTTGCAATCACTGTTCTAAGTAGGTCTTATAATAGGTAAAAGTTAATCCAACCTTCCATGCAATTACTAGTAGGACTCCATGTTTATTGCTTGACCATGACAAATAGCAGATATGTTGATTTTAAGCAAAAAGCAAGGACAAAGGGGGCGTGTCATCAGTAGCAATGTTAATTGCTTATTGTACTGACTTACCATTGGGCTGGTTCGACTTTTGGGAGTTTTGACCACGCCCTTGCAGGAAACTTAGATATTTATTGGACCCTGCAACCAAGATTGCCTTATTTTATCCGCTTTAATTTCACATCAATGAGACACACAACATAAAATTGATGGACTTTACAGAATCAACAATAACTACTTCCGACAGTTCTTTGAACAGCCAAATCAGCAATGCTAAACTTGGTTAGCACAGCCACTGGTTGCTTTTTTCTCACAAAGCAGTTAATTTTCAACTAGAAATGCATTAGTTAAAAGCCAAATATATAAAATGGGGGGATTATCAGGTCCCTGTTTTCTCTTCCATGTCCCCCTTTCTAGTTAATGTACTTTACACAAGGTACATATCTTATTCAAATCTTGTGCAAAGATAAAGAAAACACTGAAAATTTCTATCAACAGATACTAACATTTTTTAGGAAATAACTTCAAACTTTATTGTGCCTATATCGAGGCAGGCTCTCCATTCAATGAGGTTTCTACACAAACCAATTTCCCTCATTAGTGCAAAAATCAAGTGAGAAAGAAATTTACAAGATCAGTGTAAGATTCCAAGGACCTAAATGATTTCATTAGGTTAATACAGAGGGAAGTTTTATGAAAGGAGGAGGTATAAAAAAGTTTTTCTTTGGCCCATTGTACTGGCAAAAATAGTAAAATTCTTCAATTCTTTTTAAATTATGCTAGTTTTATTGGTAAATCAATTCGAAAATGTCAATTGTGATGTCACAATAACGTCATAAACATATTCGACCTAAAATGGCCATTTCACACAACGTTTTGGGTAAAATAAGTTGTGAGCCAAGGTCTATCCCAAAAAGATCTTATACCCACATTAACATCTTTGTATTAGAAATCTTGTTGCAAATTATCTTATAGAGTATTAAAGGCCTTGGCTCATAATTAAATATTAATAATATCTAAAAACACTGATATCTCAAAGACTTAATGTCTGAAGGATGTAATATGATAAATCTATATTTTTTATTTTCGAATTCAAGGGCTAAAAAAGTGGCCTTGTCATACCTTCTCCTTTTTAAGGAAAATCTCATACTTTAGATGTTTAAAGTTAATGTAAATAAGAGACAGCTTTATTTTGTTGGGATGACTTTATCAACCTGTGTGCTTCTGAAAACAAAGCTTATCATATTTGAGGAATGCGCTAGCCCTGTTCAAATAATGTAGTATATGCCTAGTGTTAGTGGGTAATCCTGCCAATATGTAATCTTCATTGTTTTCTTTTTTCCATGAGTTGTCCATAGGTGGATAGGGTCACTTTTTTAAGTAAATGATAGTTTTGGTAATTCATCTGAACCATTCTTGTATTTTTATTGAAAATGTATGTAATTTGTGTGAAAAAGTAACTGTATATGCTAAAATTGTATGTATTCAATAGTGTATTTATATCAGTTATTTTATAATAGGATTTCATTGTGAAATTTTGTCATTTATGGGCCAAGTGCCTCCTAACAGTTGCAAAACAGGAGCACCAATATCAAACAATAATTCTTACCTTCCAACACATATGCATGTTTAAATGTACAATATATTTACAAAATATTGTTGCCTAATGTACAAATACAGTGTATTAAGTGTATCCAGTTTAAATAATAAAATATACATTCTAAATCTATGAATTAGTCGATTACATTGTAACTAATACAAAACTAACTTATGAAGTTATTCAAATGTTAAATACTATCGTATAATAATTGTCTACATGGAAAATACTGAAAGTTTTTAAAATATCCTATTTTATATACATGCAACAAAAATGTTCCTTTAAAATTTGCAAGTCAACTCAGTTTAATATTTCTGAAAGATTCCAAGTTATATGAGCAATGATAAAACTTGTTCCATTTTAAAAAGATACACCAAATAATTTTGTGAGTGAAAGCCTTTCAAAACATTAACTTCTTGTTTATATGATTTTTTTCTTACTTTGAACATACTTTTTTTTATGGATGGTAAATTTTGAGTAAGGCAGATAAGTTGTTGCTTTGTGGATCCTCAAATGATGTGCTGACCAACTTACATTGTTTAGAGAGTTGTACTTCAGTAATATTTGTCTCAGGAGAAGGATCGTCCATCTCTTTAGTCAGGTCGTCTTCGTCCTCGTCACGGTTTGAACGTCTCTTACTGGAGGAACCTGGAGCTGTGGAGTTCCTACCACTATACAAATATTATACATGTATCATAACTATGTACGAAATTATCATTACATATGTAAATTGAATAAAAGATTCTCTTTGCATTAAATCAAACGTAAAATTAAACATAAAGGCAATTATTTGACAGTGCAGTCAAAAGTTGAAAGATATAATTTTGTAAGTACTGTAAATTCAGAAATTATTGCGATGTTTTTATTATTGCGAAAAATGCGACAGGGTTATAATCGCAATAATTTATACTCGCATTTTGAATTTTTTTACATGAATTAAACAGGATTTTTCTCAATATCGCAAAAATGACAATCGCATTTTAGTCTAAAATGACAAAATCGCAATAATAAATGCACACAATAATTTCTGAATTTACAGTATACAGTAAAATAACATTCAAAAGTCATTACCATTCTAATTCCTCATTTCAGTTACATCCCTTTTACCCCTTGCCGAAAATTCTATCACAAACAGTAACTGTTGTACAGCAGATTAAATATTGGTACAAATGCACTTTACAGTAGAACATATTGTTGCTAGCATAGATATACAAAAATGTTTTTAATTAGAATAGAAAAATTCTGTGTTTTTTGCATTCTGTTTTATACCTCTTTCTCTTTTTTAACTTCTCTGTAACAGGTGGAGGAGATGGTGATCTCTTACGTTTACTCTTCTTATCCTTCTTGTCTTTCTTTTCTGAATCATTGTTGGCCAGCATCTGTAAACAGTAATGAAAATTGTAGGGAAATATTGTGAAAAACTAAAAAGATAGGGGAAAGAATTTTCACAATTACCTTGAATACAAGTGAATGTAAGAGGAAATAAAATAATGGCAAAATCAAAATATAAACATCGAACTGAATATTTGTATTGATTACATTTCTTATCTTCTATGGTGTGTTTTGTAGACTGATGTTAACTGAATATTTGTATTGATTACATTTCTTATCTTCTATGGTGTGTTTTGTAGACTGATGTTAACTGAATATTTGTATTGATTACATTTCTTATCTTCTATGGTGTGTTTTGTTGACTGTTGTCTTTTTGTCAGTTTTTATTTTGATTGTCCCTTTGGTATCTTTGCCTCTATTTTTTCTATACACTTATAAAAGGTCAATGATTAGTTGGAATGTAACAAAGTGTTAGAAAAGTGTTATTATCAGTCATTTAATTCTTCCCTCTTACCTCATCAACTGTCATCCTAACACTTTTAGGTTTCTTTCCTTTTTTAGATTCATACTGAAAATAAAATAATTTGTACAAGACTTCATACTTGTTAATCAATAAATATGTGTTTGATGTTATAACAATACCTGTATATGAATAAAAGGATATTAGATAAACGATCATGCAATGATACAGTGAACCAACATTACATATTTATCATGTTTATAACCACAATAAAATAAAAGAGCTGCGCCATGAGCGCATGATATGCCTGTCGCTTTTTCAAAGAATAAAGTTCCATAACTCCTAAATGTCATATCAGAAATTTATAAAAAAAAACTAAAGGGAGGTTATTTTAATAGATATGAAACAGTCATCAAGTTTCATGAAAACTGCACAAAGCACTTTTGAGTTATTGTCTGAAAACTAAAATAAAATCCCATAACTCGGACACTTAAATCTAAAATTTATAAAAATCGAAAGGGAGCTTACATTAAAAGATATAAACAATTCACCAAAGTTTCACTAAAACTGCTCAAAGCATTCTTTGAGTTCTTGTCCGAAAACTGTAAAATCCCCCTTTTTTATGAATAAAATCCCATAACTCTGAAAGTGTCTGAAAACTGTAAAATCCCCCTTTTTTATGAATAAAATCCCATAACTCTGAAAGGTAAAATTTTAAATTTATAGAAATCGAAAGGGAGCTCATGTCAATAGATATAAACAATTCAACAAAGTTTCATGCAAATTGGTTAAAGTGTTTTTGAGTTATTGTCCCACATGTTGATGATGGACGGACGGACAACAGTATACCATGATATGTCCCGTAAACGGGCATATAATAAGTATATAAAAATTCTGTAGAACTGATTCTGTAAACAAAATTTCTAGTCTACCAAGAAGTGACAATGCTAAAATCAAATGATCTTTTAAAATGTTTATAAAGACTGTTTCCTTCTTGTTAATCAAATAAAAGGTAAAAAGTCATATGTCACCTTATCCAGAAAGTATATTCATTTATAAAAATTAAAAAAATTCATACTCTCACTAATTTTTGTAATTTGTATTTGAAACCATTAAAGATTTTACCCATCACCTCTATTATGAATTTGGTATTCACATGCAAAATGCGTGAAAAAGTATGAGCAATCAAGTTGTTATTCTAACAAAGGTTAAAATCTATGATAATCAATTTCAAAGAGAGGAATTTAATAACTGGACTCACTGTGATAAAAGACTACTTTGAAATAACCACAGTGAAACAATTTTCACAAAGTGCCAAATGTAAAAAAAGAATTGTATTAAAATTTCCCTTTTTTACAAAATGAAATTTCAAAGATCAACACACATATATCTGCATTGATTAATTTATGTGTAAAACGTTCAAATTTTTGTAGAGAGGTATGCAAATAACCAACCTGTATGTTGTCTACAATAAAAGAGTAAAGAGTCCAATCTAAATTTTCATAAATTTCATTGAATGGATGTTTTAAATAAAAACTAACCAGACAAAGTTAAGTGATCAATTTAATTCATACAACTCAGTTTTAATTGTCTACCTTTGAAAAAGAAATGTGACTTATCATCAACTTAAAATTTAACAATATATGGTGATGTGACTAGGCTTCTATAAACAGAGTTTGTACAGGAAGAAGGTTTCTAACTATTAGATGTCAGTATCAAACAGTTATTCAGTTTTGAGCCATTTGAATTTTTTTAATCATTAATAATTGTCTGCAACATGAAGACAATTTGAAAGCCTTGTGCTGTATGTGACTGTTAAACATTAACATGTTAACAGATAATCAAAACTCAAGATACCTTGACTTTAGAGTGAGTCCTTCCAACTATAATTGTTGCAGTCTGTATTAAAAATTTTAAACAATTGCTCATTTAAATTTTTTTATTATACAACTATTTCGTGACATATTTTCAAAGTGGATGTAAATCAAAGAAGACAGTTTTTATTTTATTTACAAATAATTTCATTTTTTTTTAATTTGATGTCTATTTTGATTTGGACATGTAAATCATCTACTCTGGGAATAGTACTGGTTTCTAAGAATTCTAATTCAGATTTCATTTTAAAACATATCAAAAATAGTTTCTGCATAAGTAGCTTGATAAATTGCAACCTTTGTAAATATAACTTGATCATTAAAAGAATAATCAATGCAATTATCAAAATTAATTCACAAGAGTTTAACATTTGTTCTCAGTTCACATTTATAAAAATTATAAAAATGTAATTTACAAGAAAAGTATTACAGTAGACTCCGGCCAATCGGATACTCAAAATGTCAGCTAAAAATATCCCATTGTCCGATATATTCAATTAGCCGATGAACGTATATTCCTCCAAGTTTTTTTTCAAAATTGACAGACACAACCAGGACACAACCAGGAGATACCAATAGCTATTATAGCTGCTTTATTAATGGAAATTTTTAACTAATCTCATTATTTTTTCAGGTACAAGTTCGGGTTATTACCGGTTGATTGAGTAACAGATCGATCAGTTGATAATAATGTATTTTTGTTTATCTGTCAGTCTATTGATTATTAATTATGTGATGATTATCTGAATAAAATATGTACCTTTTAAATAATGTGACTTGTTGTTTTCGCGTGATTTGTTTCATTTGTGTGTTAAAACAGGTAAAAGCTAACTATAGCTATGAATTCTCGGAAGTAGGCCACAGGTAAATGCTATTAATAGCTACGAATTCTCAAAGAACTAAATGTACGATAAACCAGGATCATACTTAGTTGCAATGTGTAAAGAAAAAAAGACGAATGTAAATGATTCAATTTATTACAGTTATAATCATTTATATATATGTATAACAACAATAGGCTAACAATTACATAATAAGCACCAAATAAAGATATCTTTTCAGCACTACATATAAATTAATTGTTTAATGTTCACAAGTTCTATAGCACTAGATACAATAGTTAGAGTCATAATGTTTATGGGATCCACTGAACAAACTCTGTAATTACTGACTGTCTCTTCAATGACTGTAGAAGGTTGTTAACTTGGTCCTCCACTTTATAATAATGGGAATAATCAGACACGTTGCTGAACTCCAAACCTTGACCAATTGTTGACAGTGCATTCAGGAGGTCTGATGAAGTTGGACGTACAGCTGGGTGTATTTCTTCGTCGTCGCTGTCAGCAGGCTCGATGTCACCTCTAGCTTCTGCTTTTTCTGATAGAATAGATTCACAAATATCTTCTTGAGTTGGCATACCCGTGGCTGGGATGTCCAAGTCCATGTCAACGAATTGTTGGAATTCAGCATCGGTCATCTCGAGTGGTGTGAGAGTAGTTGTATCATCTTCACTCTGCTCTTCTTGTAGGTTGAGGTCGGGAACAACGAAGCCACCTTTCTTGAAGCAGTTGATGATAGTTAAGGTAGTGACACAACTCCAAGATTTCTTTAGTAGATGAACTGCATCTAACAATGTTAATTTACGAGCAAGAGCCTTTGCAGTTAGTTTAACCTCTGATGCTTCTATTATTCTTATCACCTTCCTGACCATGTTACTACGATAGTATGCTTTTAGGTTCCGAATAATACCTTGGTCACATGGCTGAATGATTGATGTAGTGTTGGGAGGCAAAAACTTCAGCACGACCTGTTGGAGACCTGCACCAGCTGACTCGGGATTAGCACTGCAGTTGTCAACCAGTAATATGACATGACGACGTTGCCTCTGCATGTCACTATTAAATGCCTTTATCCACTCTTTGAAGTATTCGGAAGTCATCCATGCATTTTTGTTGGCTTTGTAAGTGACTGGTAGGTGTTGGACACCTCTGAAACAGCGGGGCTGTTGACTTTTGCCGATGACAAGTAGAGGTCTTTTGTCAGTGCCGGTCATGTTAGCTGCAACCATGACGGTGATGCGATCTTTTGACTTTTTTCTGCCTGCAACATCATGAAATTTTTCAGTGAGTGTTCCATCTGGAATAGCTCGGTAGAAGAGGCCAGTCTCATCAGCGTTGTAGATATCATCTGGGTTGTAGTTCATGAGTATTTCTGGAAGAACATTTGTAACCCAGTCATCTGCTGCTTCAGTGTCAGCGTCTTTTTTCTCCCTGTGGCATTTCTTGTAGACTATGTTGTTGCGTCCCTTCCACCTTTCAAGCCAACCATTGGTGGCGACAAAATCATCTTTGCCAAGCTGTGTTGCAAGTTCTTTTGCTTTCTCTTGCAGTATTGGGCCCGAATGTGAACCAAACACCCTCAGGCAAAGTTTATCTTGTATGGTTTTTGTTGTTCTGTTTACTGTGGATTCATTATCATTCGTTAGATATCAATTTTCGTTGATTTCGTGGAACCACCAATTTTAATGTTCCATGAATTACTTATTTTCTATAGAAATGCATGCCGACTTTGGCAAAACCAGGAAAGAATTTCATTACAAGGTATTAAATGTGATATCCTTACCTCTTCCTCCATAAGATAATCTTCTTCATTCATCCACTCGTTGTATTCTTCCAGATCTAACAACCACTTTGCTGTTACCTAGAGCATAAAAAAGAAGGTACCCATGTAAAAGACTTTGGTCGACTTGAAACACTGCACAAAAACTGTGCCAAACCACTAACTGGGTTTTAAGCCATGCAATATTATCTTCTAATGAAAATAAAAGTTTAAGTGTTTGCACTATAGGCAATTAGGTGTCTGTCTCATTGACGTTAACCCAGCATTTGATTTCAAATGTGAATAAACACAATAACTATTGCTGTCAATAAAATAGTTTGTGATTTACTTTATTGCAAAAAGTACAACAAAAGAAGGATCCCAATATAAAGACTTTTTTCTTTAAAAGTAATTGTCCTTTCCAATAAATGATTACATCTGTCAGATAGTAAGGAGATACACAACAGTCAAGTTAAATAACAACCATCATCCAATTTTTCTGGTTTTTTGTAGAGCCTTCGACTTTAGTCGAAAAAGCGAGACATAGCGATCCTACATTCCGTCGGCGTCGTCGTTGGCGGCGTCCACAAATATTCACTCTGTGGTTAAAGTTTTTGAAATTTTAATTACTTTCTTAAACTATCCTGGATTTCTACCAAACTAGGACAGAAGCTTGTTTATGATCATAAGATAGTATCCAGAAGTAAATTTTGTAAAAATAAAATTCCATTTTTTCCGTATTTTACTTATAAATGGACTTAGTTTTTCTGACGGGAAATATTACATTCACTCTGTAATTAAAGTTTTGAAAATTTTAATAACTTTCTTAAACTATCCTGGATTTCTACCAAACTTGGACAGAAGCTTGTTTATGATCATAAGATAGTATCTCGAAGTAAATTTTGTAAAAAAATAAATCAATTTTTTCTTATTTTACTTTTAAATGGACTTAGATTTTCTGCCAGGAAACAACACATTCACTCTGTGGTTAAAGTTTTTAAAATTTTAATAACTTTCTTATACTATTTTGGATTTGTACCAAACTTGGACAGAAGCTTGTAAATGATCAAATGCTAGTATCTAGAAGGAAATTTTGTTTTCTTCCAGTTAACATTACATTCAGTCTGCAGTTAAAGTTTTTAACCATTTATTAGATTCATAAACTATCCTCGATTTTTACCAAACTTGGACAGAAGCTTCTTACAATCAAAAGATAGTATTAAGAGGAATATTTTTATTGATTTACTTCCTCATTTTTGTTGAGCCTGCGATTAACAGAAAAAGTAGGCGAGACACTGGGTTCCGCGGAACCCTTACAAATTTTATTTGAGATAAAGCATGAATTCAACCTATTATTTTTCTTTTTTTTTTAAACTGAGCCATTTCATTCGTTTTTATTTTTTGGTTCTCTGGATATTAAGAAATCCAAAAATGGATTAAATTTTGAATTTAAATTTGTATTTCTTGGTAAATAATCTCATTAAGACATCTTTGCAGGTCTAATGTAGTTAAATTATTTCTTATTGAATTTCTCATACATTGGCATTAAAAAATCCATATAAAATTATGAACCAAACCGGAGGCTAATTGATATAATTGGTGTAACCTTACCTCCCAACTACCACCGTGATGTTGTATTGGTTCTGGTTCTACATCCAAGTTCAGATCAGCCACCCAAGTATCATAACTGAAATATTTCACAAAAAATATTAAAAAATTATGTTACCTTAAATTTTAACACATTATAACAAATATACTCATATACAAAGTTACTTGACATCTGACAATATGTTAGAATGAACAAAACACCTGTAATACAGGTGGTATATATATACTGGTGTGAAATGATATTGATTGAAAAATCAATATTAGTAAAGGTGAAAACAGCTGTCAAGATTTGACAAATGAAACCAAAGAATCAAATTGCTGTTATTGTACAATGGGAGAACTTACTGTGAAGGTAATTTTCTATTTTGATTTTCATAATTATATATTTTGTCTTAAGACAAAAAATAAAGATGTTTGCTACTCAAATTTAAAAATAAAACCCCAACATTTTCATAAATTTTGCTTCTTCAAAGAGATATTAAAATTAAATAAACATCAAATAAATGGAACAAAAGTAAAATATTGTGCTTATATTTTGATTATGAAATTTGTTTTGATTTTTTTCTTAAGAGGGGATTTTCTCTGGATTTTTCAACTGAAATATATAAGAAATGAATTTTGAAAATATATTAGAATAACAGAATTTAGGCTGAAGATTTTGAAGTAACTATTAATTTAGGGAGGGTGGGGAAGGATAGTCTCTAGATTTTTCAACTGAAACATATCAGAAGAAATGCATTTTGAAAAATGTATAAGATATAACATCAATTCTAAAGGTATTTGAACTGACAAAATTACTGTTTGTTTATCAACCAGAGGGGTTACAAGATAACAAGGAAAGGTTGAAGATGTGAACAGATCATTTCTTTTTATCTTATAGCTACTGAGATTCATTAATTTTTACATTAGAATTATTTTATTCTATAAAACTTGTTGGTATGAAGCTTATTCATGTTATTTAAAAATAAATGAAGAATGTGGCAATGGGACACAGATGATGCCCCAGCTTGCATATAATGTTATAAAGGGACATAAAATAAGAATGGTAAAAGTGACGCCACCAAAATTCGAATTTGATCTGAGTTTTGTAGTAATAAGCTTTGTGTATAAGTTTCATAACATTTTTTTTGGTTGAGGCAAACTTAAGTTAGAAAAACAGAAACGAAAAATTCAGCAATTTTATGTTTATTAAGTGGCATAACTCATGAACGGTAAAAGTGACGGCACCCAATTTCGATCTTGATCTGTGGTTTGTGGTTATAAGCATTGTGTATAAGTTTTATATCATTTGGTTGAGGCAAACTAAAGTAAGAGAATGGAAACCAATTTTGAGGACATACGAGACGGTTGGGACGGACAAGGGTAACACTTAATGCCCCTTCGCCTTGTGGCGGGGGCATAAAAATGTGTGTGGCAGACATGTGTTGCCTGTCATACCCCCAAAATATCAGCAGAAATAGCTAAGTCTAGGTTTCAATATGGGAAACCCTAAATATCACACAGAATTTTTTTTAGATCGCAGGTGCACAACTTCATTATCTGTTTAAAAATCTGTGCATTGGGTTGAATTCTGTCTAGCCACTTTCAACGAGTTGCAGATTATTAGAAATGGTCAAGTCCATTGGAAACCCAAAAATCACCAAGATCTTAAACTTAATTAGCAGGTGCAAAACTTCCAGTACTGTGGAACAATCTTTTCAAATGTGATTGAATTTTGTGCAGCTGTTTTAAAGGAGTTGCAGATTATAAAAGTGTGACATGGCCAACAATGATGCAAGACTGAAGAAGTGATCCCTGTGTTGCTTCATCAGGATGCTGTCAGCAATATCAAATAATACATTTTTAATGAACATTTGTGCCAGGCATTTCTAGGACACAAGTTTTATAAAAATATAGTAATATACATAAATTCACACAATACATTTACCTAGAAAATAAATTTAAACTTTAATATCAATAAAAAATAAAATATAACTACCTGTCAGGAAAGTTTATCCAATGGACCATGGCATATTTATCTCTCTTTGAAACAAGACGAACATATTCCTCTAAAAACACAAAACAATCATTGTTAAAATACTTCAATAAATGGCAGGGCTGGATTTATTGGTTTGTTTGTCCAGTACCATCTAATATACCAGTGAGATGAGAAGCTACCTTTTTATGTTTGAATGATTGTACATCTGACATGGCAGGGCCTTCTTATTGCTTGCTGTGTTGTATGGCTTTTGCTAAATGTTGAAGTGGTACAGTGACCTTTAGTTAATAACTTATATGTAATTTGGTCTCTGGTGGAAAGCTGTCTCATTGGCAATCATATCACATCTTCTTTATCTTTATATTGTTATTCACTTGCAACAAAATTTAATTTCTTTAAGCAATTTATGACAGCGAAACATTTTTTACTGAATAATTCTGACACAGGCTGTTTAAAATCTGTTGGGTTCCCTAAAAAACAGAAATTGTGGCCTTTATACTTTACCCTCTGAAGGATCTTCTGTGACAGGATTCACAATGTGGGTGGCATCATCTTCATCATCTGTGACACTCCCCTGATGACGTTTGGCAATGTCTTTCAGTCTTCCTGTCAATTGTTTGTCTAATTCTGGACTCATGAAAATACATGGCATTGTCAGACATTTGTTGGCCACCAATGACCTTTCTATCTGTAGAAACATCTCCACATTTCTCTCCATTCTGGATGGAGATTGGAAATCGAATCGTCTCCTTTAGAAAAAATATTTGTGGCATTGTAAACAGAAAGTAAAATATTTATTGAATTTGCTTTTTATAAGGCCAAAAAAAAATATATGTCTGTTTAAGGTTACATCCTTTAAAAAAATAGGGTAGGTAGGTAGGTATTTCCATTTTATTTTTTTTTTTCATTTTTTTTTTTGGCGAGATGTGTGATGTTGTTACATGTTGTTTTAACTAATATTAAGTGACTATATTAACTTTTTACTGTCATATAAACTTAAAATAAATTGTTTTGTCCTTTCTAATATATAGGTTTATTAATGTACATGTATGCAGGCATATATGCAGAAATAAAATCATTATGCTGTACTGGTGTATGAACAATCAATATATATAAAACAAGAAGACCCATCAGAAACGAGGAAAGATGACAAAACCTGCACTTGTCTTATACATATGAACGTACTGGTTCAAGTTTTGGGGGTTGTACCAACTCCTTGTATTAAAGAATGTTTCTTTCACTGTTGCAAATTTGATGCATTAAACTTTTAATAAATTAAATTCTTTTATACCCTAGTAAATGACCTTCCCAGGAACATTGCTCACAGTCACAAGTTTGGTGCTGTGTTTATTAGAAGAAATAAAGAGTAGACACCCCTGCAGACCATACATATTATTAAATGTGTGGTATTTACATTTATTTATGAGAGGTTAGTCAGAAATTATCTATCTGTCAGTATTTGGCTAACCTCTACAAGTACTGACACTTACCTGCAGAATTAATAAATAGAAAAAAAACATGCGTTTTAACAGGTTCAATTCCTGGTTTGAAATATATTTGCAGGGAAAGGTGTCAATAGGGTGATGTCAAATGTCTTAATATTTAAAAAAAAATGGGTATGCTCGTCCTCCAGCCATCATAACTTGAAAAAACATTTATTGCAGTGTTGGTAGCATTGTCTGCCGCTGTTTGGACAATATGTACCAAATTATTGTTGATCTCTTTCTCACATAAAAATTCTATACATTAAACATTGAATTTATCTACAACATCTCCAACAGTTAAGTTCCCGTCAACAATAAAACCGTCACCTTGTTGAATTTCAGTCTTGCAAGTCACCGTTACTTTGTATGTTTTTGCAGGTTGTTCACTATGGTACAAATCAAACACATCGGTACCAATTATTAATTTGTTTGGTAACGTTGTCATAATAGATTTTGTGAGCATGTGGTCGCATTTTTTTAACTTTAAAGCGACCACGCTTGCTGCCTCAGCCTGTTGAGCCATGCAGCCTGCCATTGAGATCTGATCGTAAAAACGCTTCAGTATTGAGTACGCGATTTTAAAATTAAAGCGCTCAGATGATCACGCACCTACTTTCACTTTTATTTTAAAAAATGACATAGGGTCGGCACCCCAAAATAGGGACGGTCGGGTAACCGTAAACAGACATATATATTTTTTTTTGGCCTAACCATGTTGCCAAAAAATATATTGATTTTTTCTCAAAATAACTGCCTGCCATATCGGGACATTTTATAGCTGACCTGGTATTGGTTTTGCTCATTGTTTTACAGTGACCTATGTGCACTTAAATGCACTTTATTTTGACTCTATTGTATAGGTGTCTCATTGGAAATCATACCACATCTCCTCATTTTCTGTTATATGATATTTGGTCATTGACAATTACATTTTATACAGATTTAAATTTAAATTATTGTTAATTGAAAATAACTTCCAGTTAGCAGACAAGCAATTAACTATTAAGGGCTTTTCCATTAAAATGTATGTGGGAGGGTAGGAAGGGAAGTTTAATTATTGAATGTGGGTCATGGGTCTTTTATCAGTATGCGTCTATTACCATTATGCAAAATTATCTTAAAATTGGTTCTTGGTTGTAGGGATATTTTGAAAGTCCCTTCCTAATCTCCCACATACATTTTAATGGAATAGCCCTAACACTATGCAGGCAATAAAATCATCACAAAATACAGAAAATTTCCCCTCATGACCCAGTTCATGTTCATTTAATAAAAATAAAGATCTTTATTGTTTGAGTGCAAGAGTTTCATCAGTGAAATTTAATCGTTATAGATTCAAAGTTAGCACTGTACATGTATCTTACCATCCTTGATCACTTTTAAACTTATACACAGCTGCTATAATATGACATAAAGATCCACCAGCTTTAAAGTCAAGGAAACATTTCATCTGAAATTAAAAGAATAAAAAAACTTTAGAACTTTAAATCATCTCAAACAGAAATCTAGACTTTTTTTTATTTTTTCATTATTTTTCTATCCAACCAAACTTGCTTTTGCCCTGGAAACTCTGTTATTCATTTATTATGGATCTATAGACCTTTGCTCTGATTTTTTCTTCAAAATTGGTGTCTTTCATTTATCTACAAATTCTACATACATGTTCTTAAAACATTTTTTTCGTTACTGACTATTTAATGTTGTATTTTTTATTTTTGTTACTGACTATTTTATGTTGTATTTTTTATAATTCTTATTAATAAATAAACATGATGTGTCTGTTATCGTCAATCTTTATTCGCAAATCATAATAGAGAATCCTCTTCAAAGTACTTACAGGTAATTTGGTTATTGCTGGATTTTTGACATGTTTGCCAAATGTTTCTTCCTGGAACTGTAACAACTGGATGACAAGACTTGATAAACTTTTATTTGTAGGTGGATCTGCCTGGATATACTACAATAACAAATGAATAAAGAATTATATTGATATCAAACAAGAGTCATGTACATGTATGTGTTTCATTAACAAAAAAATATTTGTTCGTATTCAATTTCAATTAATTTGTTTCTTATATTGTATATTGTTTAACTACAGCGCAGTGGAACCATGTATAGGTTCTTCTTTCATGCAGTCCTCGAAACTAGCACAGGACCAACAGGACATGTCCTGTAAAAATATATTTGGTCCTGTCGATTTTTGTTAATTTTGTAATACATTCCTAAGAAAAATTTGAAGAATCATCAGTTCGGTCCTGTAAATGCCAAATCCCAAATTCTATGACTGTCATGTCTTATAATAGGTCATACAATTTATTTAATTGATGATGTTCATCATGTTCATTGGAAAAAATAATTCCAATGAAATTTATAAAATGGACCTGCATCATACATGTATGTAAGCTAATATTTGATAATTATTAAGAAAGAAAATACTTATATTAAAAAAAAAACAAAACAAACAACTTAGTTAATAAACTGTTGCCACAGAGATATGTCTTGCCTGTCGGAATAAAATTCAGAAAAAGAAAATCTGATGAATAGCAACATTGCTTATGAATTCAAAGTAGCTGGACCATGATCTAGTGGGCAGGGCCTGAAAATGGTCAACAAACTGAGGTGTACAGACAATAATGTAACTTTATAGAAAATATTATTGTCTATTATAAGTAGTTCCTATCAATCTAACTCAAGTAGAAAACTTAACATTGAAAATTGCTAATTAATTCAAAGTCAATGGACCATGTCCTAGGGGGCAGGGCCTCAAAATAGTCATCAAACTGATATGTACCGACAGTAATGCAACTTTGTATTAAATATCAATGATCTATTACAAGTAGTTCCTATCAAACTAACTTAACAATTGTTGACGCCGTCACCGTCACCATCACCATCACCGGAAAAGCAATCCCTATGTCTCGCTTTCAAGACAGGCCAGACAAAAACTTCATATTTTGACAATAATTTTCTATAATTTGTACTTAATAATTATGTCACGCAAGGCAATCAATCAATAATAAAAAATCAATTGCAAGCACTATCATGACTAATAGACAGAACATGTAGTTTTCAATATTTCCTTCATTATTATCAAGCTGGAACATTTAGCTTCATCTCATTGTTTAATGTACTCTTATTTACTCATTATGAGGGATGAAGGAAAAAGCAAGTTTATTGTGTCTGAGAAACCAAACATTGCCGAAAGCAAAGCCCATGAGGATAGCTGGAAACCTGCTAAATTTTACCTCATAACCAATCATTGTTTTATTATACCAAACAAGACAACTTTTAAAGAAATCTACATACACCGTCTGGCAAAAAATATTTAAATAAAAGTTTCATATATATGAAGATGGTGTATGATATTTTTCACCCTTGTGCTATTTGTAGATTAAAATTCAAAGATCCTTAAAAATTTCCATTCATACAATAGGTGGTAATCTAAATTATGTTACCTTACACTGAAGTTCTCAAAGATGTAAGATAAGATCGAAGACAGACCAATACCAAAAATCTTTTATTTTGTTGCTCTATAAAAACAGGGCTCATACTACCTCAAAATAGTAGGGAGAAGTGACTACTCCTTTTGAAACTGAGTTTTTTCAAATACTGGATGAATTATTAGATGTGTTTTTGATGTTTATTAAATATTTATTAAAATATTTAGATTTTCATGAATCAAAATTCTGGTATTTTTAAATGAAATATTTTTTTCATGATTTGATGATTAATTATTAAAGTGTTAATTATGTATGATTACTGTTAATTAGTATTTACATAGCCAAATTTGGTATTATTGTTCTGTGTTTGAAAATCATGATTGTTGTTATAACTAGCTTTGATGTAATTCTTTATTACTTTAAGCACATTATGCTTATCAGTACAATAAATACAAATACATTTTTATAACAAAAAATGGCATAATACATCAGAGAAGCAAATAAACATCAAGTATTGTCTACTAACAGTTCAGTCCTATGATTAAGCGCATTAAATAGAAATTTACACAAATTACGCAAATCTTTGAAATTTTCAGTGCTGAGAAGTTGAACTTATTTGAACGACGATGGACACCTAGAATAATAAGGTTTAATAAACTGTCTCCTAAAATCTCTATAACATTCACATTGTAATACAAAATGGACTTCATCTTCAATGGTATTCAAAGTACAAAGAGCACATTTTCTGTCTAACCTTTTTACTCCATGATAATGTCCTACTTCAACCATTGTCAACAAACAAATTATGTGAAGACAATCTAAGACTAGTTAAATACACTCTAAAAAAATACTGTAAATACAGCATGTAGTTAGCTTGGTATGAGTATATTCAATGAAGATTTGGTATCTTCCGCCTTTCTTTACAAGTCTTAGATGAATGAACTTTGCCTTGATGACAATTTTTTTATTCATTCATGATTCATTACGTTAAATGATTAATAAAACACTAAAGGAAACCTGTTTACATTTATGGAATGTCACTTTACTTTGTAACAATTAAAAAACACTTATTTATAGCAATTCACCAAGGATTTGTATAGTTACAAATATTTGAATACACTATTCCACTAACCAGCTAACTTAAACACGATTAAAAATGTATTCAACACAAAACCAATGATTTGTATAGTATACACTATTCAAATCCTTGACAAAACCAATAAAAAGGGTGCGAACATGAAAGGGGGCGAATGAGATTTCGGGCAAACAGACCCGGATTCGAATAAAGCCAATCATCAACCAAAATTTCAGATTTCTAGCAATCTTAAAATCATAAAGTCCTATGACACCTTCATCCCCAAATTACCCTAGGTCAAACAGGGGCCGCTGTTCATTCATAAAGTAGAAATTAGAATCTTGTGAATCAGTGGGCAACCAAATCAGAAGATTGCTCAGCACACAGAATCACAAAACTTCAAAGGAATGAGTGTCAACATACAAATGATACATGACATAGCCGTATTTGCCAAAAGGATGTAATGGGGCTGCATAACAAGCGGTGTTAAGTTAATTGTTTTGAGGTGCCTCCTCCATTAAGAGTACAGATACTCAGACAATTACTGAGTTAAAGGCATAAATTATCAGGACAAAGGAAGAATTATCCGTAAACAGAAGACAATTTACAGGACATTTATGTTTGCACAGTGAGTTTAATTTCTTGGATTTTACTTTCACCTTTTTGTGGTTTTTGTTTAACCAAGTTCTGACTGAATCAAATTGTGCTATTGTCTCTACGGCTTCGAAAAACTTAACGTTCGGAGAGCCGTCTTTCTTTCTTTGCAACGCCATTTTCCGGCAGCGTTAGTAGATATGCAGTGAATTTGTCCAAATAATATAATTATTGTTTCGAAAAAATATAAAACTATTCTAGATTGAATAAATTTGTTTTATAAAATTTACCTGTACATAAGAAGTAACCCAATTTACATAATTTTATTTTATCAAAATATATATTCACTGCGTTTCAGGTACACTAACTTGCAACGTCGTTTGAGCGTTTGAAGTTGTACTTTTTCACTGTACAAAACAGAAATATTTATTTACATTGAATCACTTCCACGTCAATTTGTCGGCACTCTTTTATTTTGATATATTGTCGAAATAGGAATGGATGGCGGAATATTGGTAAAATATATTTAAATAATACAAAAGCCCTGAACACTGATTTACAAAATTAAATCCAAAAATGTTTTATACTTCGAATGAAGAAAACAAATTCATCTGGTTAATGCATATGTCTATGCGATGATGAATGAGAAATTATAGGTGTATCATTCATAACCTTCAGCAGCTGCTTAAAAAAACTAATATGCGACAGGTGTAAACTGTGAAAGGGGACCAAGTTAGCAAACCTTTAGAATACTAAACAATATCCCGTTAACCTCAGATAATATAATATATATATATAATATATTTTAGTTCCTTTATATGTTTTGGAGTGTAGTGTGACGTCCATTTTCTCTGAACCAGGACACAATTTTATTTAGGGGTCAGCTGAGGACCACCTAAGGGTGCAGGATTTTCTCGCTGCGTTGAAGACCAATTGGTGGCCTTCGGCAGTTATCTGCTCTTTGGTCGGGTTGTTGTCTCTTTGACATATTCCCCATTTCCATTCTCAATTTTAATCATTTTTTGTAAAAAAATCTCAAGCATAAATTCTGGTGAAAAATAACTGAATTACGGAAACGTATCAGATGTTGGTCCTATTTAGGAATTTTATACATGACGTCATTTTCAATGTAAACAAAGAATTGCTATCATTATGTAGGGGTTTGTTTTTTTAGTTTTTAAGTATAGATTAATTAAAAACATTTATACCTAAAAACAACAAATATACAAATTCGGCTTATTTAGTTATTACTGATTTTTTGGACAGATTTTCAAATCTGCCTGATTGAATTGAGGTGAGTTTCCCAGAGAAATCATTTAGTTTGCTCTAAAATTGTATGTTGAATATGCTCTAGACTCATTTTATTACATATACAAACAAAATAAATTCAAATGTTTGTCCTCATTATTCTTATGTGTAATCAGTTATACAAATTTGCAGGAAATTGTATGAATTACAACCTAGCCAGTGTTCTAGGATTTTTATACATATGCAACTTTCCAGGGGAAAGTTGATATCAAAAATTCACTTTCCCACAAGTTCAATGAACTTTCCCTGAATTTTATACTATTTTAAAAATGTTTTCATAATTTTGTTATTCCTTTTATCACATGTTTATACATCATCATAACATGTAGTTCAATTTGAAATTATGAACTCTGTTATTTCCTTTAAAATTAATTAGTTTGTGATTGTGTTGATAATTCAATGTCATGTTCATCTAGATATAATACAAAACATTTGATGGAATATATTACACTGTGATAGTTCATATAAATGTGACATTACATCAGTAATTCAAATGTATTGGCACAAAAAAGGGATAATATCGTCAAACATTACAGGCAAAAAATCACAAATTTGAGATCCGTGTATTAAATCTTTTACCGTTTGCGTTCCTGTTATTAGGTTTTTGCATCTAGAACGGATGGATGTGACATTACATCAGTAATTCAAATGTATTGGCACAAAAAAAAGGGATAATATCGTCAAACATTACAGGCTAAAAACGAATTTGAGATATGTGTATTAAATCTTTTACCGTTTGCGTTCCTGTTATTAGGTTTTTATACGACCGCAAAAAATTTTTTGTGGTCGTATATTGTTGCATCTAGAACGGATGGATACTTCACATCACGGATTTTCCTTGTTTAGCTGGCAAGCATATTTATGACAGTGATCGTGAAACACATGTGCACGTTTTTTCTCCCCATGACTTTACAACCCCTGCATGATTTACGCCAACAACAATGATCCCACTTTGAGACTTTAATTGAAATAAAAGAATACAAATGGTTACTTCGATCGTTTGATCTGTATGAATAGGAAGTTTTTGTAATTTATTTTACTTGCCCACAGACAACAAAGGTTTGAATTTCCACTTTCTCGTGACCTAAATCAACTTGCCACTGGTGACAGGAAAGGGGAATTCTAGAACACTGTAGCAGTGTCCATCAACAAAACAGAAACAGGGTATTGCGCAACATGTACAAGCTCAACTGCTAAAAAAAAAGTTAACGATTTTGGGTTCATTTATAGTATACTGGTAGAGGCCAATTACCGTCAGTTAGCAGTTACCATCACCTGCCATTTTATTGAGCAAACTATTAAAAACAAAACAAGAACTGATAGATAATATTTAGAAAAATAATTATGATAACTTTTGGATTCATTGTCAATGTATATTTGTCATGTTTGTGCCAATTACCAGAAGTTTCCTGGAAACAATATATAAATAATGAAATAATATCTGTTCCAATTGGAGCAGATATTCTATATCCTTTATTCTGTAAGGAACAAATAATACAGAATTTGTTCCTTACAGAATAAAGGGTATAGAATATCTGTTCCAATTATCATGATTATTTATAATATGGTTACTAGGGGAACTTCTGGTAATGCAGTGGAAATGATTAATAGAACATTTCTTTCATTTGGAACTTATATTAAGAAGGGACTTTAATTTCATGGCATTATGACTGTTTTGGTCTAAGATATAATGTGTTCCTTACAAAATTTTTAATTTAAAATGATATTAGCTGATGCTATGTTCGTTATTTATTTTGAAATTTAGGAACCTTCTCTGTATATGGTAAAAGCTGTTGCTATTCTAGACAACGATGGAAACCGTTTGGTAACAAAGGTATATATAATCAACCTATTTTTTGATGTAACAACATTCACAAGGGATATGTCTAGCCAAACCTTAATGAAAACAAAATATGATTGCTATATTAATTTACTATTTTAGCCACTAGTCCTAAGCCAATAATTACAACAAATGTAACATCTGGTGAAACAAGTGACATTTGCCATTTTTGCCCCCCAAAAAAAGAAAATTCATGTTAACTAGCAGTAAACATCTACATCTACAGTTAACACAAGGTGATTAAGTCTTTAAAACATCCTTGTTGGTGTTAAATGAATGGCAAAACAACTGATTTCTGTAAATTTGAGGTGAAAAACTGTTTTTAATATTATGTGCTACTTTATATTCAGTTAGCTTTTTCTAGTCCAGTAAAAAAGTACAGAGCAAATCTGATGAAAAACAATGAAAAAGCACAGAACAATGCTGGATAAAAAACAATGAAAAAGTACAAAACAAATCTGGGTAAAAATTACATAATATATCTGGATGAAAACTGCTTTGAAATATGGAAAATAACATATCTAGACAAATAACAGAACATATCTGAATAAAAAATACAGTCTAAATTTGAAGAAAAAAATGTGGATAAATATACAGAACAAATCTTGATAACAGAAAATAACAAATCATAATAAAAAACTGAAAATATATGTATAAAAAAACCCAGAACAAATCTGTATAAAAAATAGGAACACAAATCTGGATAAAAAAATACAGATCTAACCAATATGGATTATAAATTCAGAAAAAAATCTGGATAAAAAAAAACAACAAATCTGGATTAAAAAAATACAGAATAAATCTGTATAAAAACTGCATTGAAATATTGAAAAATAAACTTGAGAAAGTATTGATATGCCAAAAACCATGGTTACTTTTTTCTCTTTCTCTTCTAAATATTTTATTTTCAAACTTAACTTGATTTTTTTCAGTATTATGATGATCAGTTTCCTACCTCAAAAGAACAGAAGGCTTTTGAGAAAAATTTGTTTAATAAAACACATAAAGCTAACTGTGAGTATCCTTACAGTATGAATCTGCAGTTTTATTTACTTTTTGTTCTGTTAAGTTAATTTCTAATTAGGGAATTAGATTAAAATGTTATTAAATTAGAAATTTATTTTAGCATAAAATTGAAATTTCAGAAAATAACTAAACAACAAATTATACTGAATTAAGCTAAAAAATATTCTCTTTTTAGCACCAAATTGATAACATGGATAAATTGTAATAACAAAAGATGAGGTTGATACTGGCTCTTCTTTTTAATTTCAATACTGTACAAAGTTTTGTTGTGAACACACAACATTTCTCCAGATTTTAAATTATATAACACATTAGTACATGTACTGGTTAAAAACCAAGAGAAAATGTTGTTCTATGATCTGTGTTTGTTTTTGCGGCTATAAATTTTTCACAAAGTAGATTGTGCTAAATAAAACCTTTCCTTTATTTTCCAATATATGAAACAATTTGAATAGAAAAGTAAGTATTTAACTACAATGAGATATCAAACTTTTAATGCCTCAGAACAAATTTCCTTTCTTTTGATGCATTGAGATTGATTCTCGTTTTCTGAATGTCCAGTTACAAATATTTCATGTTCATTTAATCAATGTGTGATAACAATTAAACAGTGGAATTAATGGAACAACAATATTTCAATAGATTTCTTGGTATTTTTTTACAGGATTTTTACCTCTTTGTGACCTATCGTAATGGTAATAGTCACTCCATTCATCTATACAAACTATGGGAATAACTTTTACATTTATTTTTCAGCTGAAATAATAATGTTTGAAGGTTTGACCTGTGTATATAGAAGTAATGTAGATCTGTTCTTCTATGTTGTTGGCAGTTCACAGGAAAATGAGGTTTGTTCTATTCTTTACTGATTATTCAATCCTTATAGTACTAGCACAAGATTATTAGATAACAACAAGCTACATGCTCATAAAATATTGTCTAGCTTTTGAGGAAAAAAGATGGCGCCTAAATTTGTTTAAGCAGAAACGTATTCCTATTTATCTACCCTTTTTCATTTTCAATTCTTGATACTAGTGTGGATACAGTCAACAATAAATAAAAATGATCACACAGATATCCAATATGCACAGATGATTTCACATTGGACTTCAGACAAATTTTCTCATTGAAAGGAAAAGTCTAACTATGATTCTCCAGAGTTTTAGGATTGTCCTGTTGAAATTGTCAATATCAAGTTAAAATCACTTATCTTTTGCTAAATAAAATATCCTTCATTTTGAAAGACTATCATCAAAGATTTTTTTTAAAGTTTTAAATTTTTACACACCTATACATATAACCTTTTTGGCAAAAATAAAAAAAAAATGTTGGATGGAAATATTTATATGGGTACTTATTCATCTTTCATCTAAACATGTACTCCCGTTTGAGACCATTTTTAAAGTTTATGAATGATAATGCATATATTTTGTTTAAAGAATTGTAACCTTTTGATTTTTGTCTTGCCTTGACGGAGTCAAAAAGCGAGACAAAGGTATGCTGTTTCCGGCGTCGGCGTCGTCAACAATGTATTAATTTGTGATTAGGTCTAGTTCATGGTGAACCACTAGTGGTAGGTCAATGATATTTGGTATGCAGTTGTATTAGCATTGGCACATCTCATTACCATGGAGATTATTTGGCCCCGCCCCCTCAGTGAAGGTCTATTGACTTTGAAACTTTTCATAGTTTACATGTATTAGTTTGTGATTAGGTCAAATTATGGGGAACCACTAGTGGTAGGTCAATGATATTTTAGTATGCAGTTGTATAAGCATTGGCATATCTCATTTCCATGGAGATTATTAGGTTTGTTTAAAGGGAACGACTTATAATAAGTCAATGGTATTTGGTATGCAGTTGTATTAGCATTGGCACATCTCATTCCATGGAGATTGTTTAGCCATGTACCTTCAGTCATGGTTCATCGACTTTGAATAATTTCATAACTTACATGTTAAAGTATTGCTATTTTAATTTCAACATTTGCATTATCAAAATTACAAAAAGTCCAGACATATCTCTGTGATAACAGTTTATTACTTTAGATTACCAATTTTTGCTTTCTTTTTGAATGAGACCTGTTCTTGAAATGATTAGACATTAGGGTTGAGTAGTGAACTTTTATGGAAAGGGAATTATTTTTTATTGTAGACAAAGAAAATATGAATATATGTAAAAGAAGAAAAGGTCAGCAGCCCAACTTTACCAAAAACTCAAAAGTCATACAGAGGTTCACATACTGTCTTCAACAACAATAAAGTGTTTACAAAATATTTACTAAATCACCACCCTAACAGAACTCAATTATAGATTGTGTTGCCTACTTTTCATCAGCATTTGACAAACTGATTGTAACACACAACTATTTGACAAATTCAAAGTTGAACTAAGAGTTGTATTGGAACATTACAAATGAATTAACAAATGTAATGTTTTCCACACAAAAGCTTTCATGTAAGGATTGTCCACAACCAAAAACAAAAATCACAAATGTAACAATAAATTGATAAACTTTTTAAAAAATAATACATATGATCTCATACTAACCAAAGAGTTTTTAATACTCTTTACAATATAATACATACTTTTTCTGTATAAATGCATATTTTTTTTTTTCTTTTCAGTTGATACTAGCCAGTGTTTTAAATGCTTTATATGAATCAGTTAGTCAAATCTTGAGAAAGAATGTAGAAAAAAGAGCTTTGTTAGATAATATGGATGCTGTGTTCTTAGCTGTAGATGAAATATGTGATGGAGGGTAATGTCTGCAGTTATCATGTTTATTTGTTTATAATGTACCACTCTGAAATCAAGCAGTATTATCTCCTTTCTATAAGTCAGCTTGTAATTGAGAGTTATCTCCTTTTATAAAATGGAATCTGGTAAAAATAACAGTAAAAGAGGAGGTACATAATCAATCATTCTTTGCTTTGGACATAACCCTTTAAGTTTAATGGCTAACAATTTTGAATAAACAGAGATACGAGTTATGCTTCAATGAGAGCAAAATCTAACATCACAAATAAAGAAACAACATCTATGGTTCAATTTACATGTATTAATAATGATAATAATGATGAAATTTATAAAGCGTCCTACATGAAAAATATGAATTACTCTAAGGCAATGTACATACAGCATGGTAGTTAAACCAAATCAAAGCGTAAAACACAAAACATACAATATATCAGATGCAAATACTGAAGAAAAAAAATACAATAAAAATTACTACTATTTTGTATGCAGTTGTTTATGCATTGGTGCATTTCATTTCCGTGAAGATTATTTGGCCTGCCCCCTCACTTTTGATATATCGACTTTGAAACTTTTCCTTAGTTTATATGTTAAAATTTGTGATAAGGTCACACTTCTATCAAAATTACATGAAGGTGAGACTTATATCTAGTCAACCGTTTATTTGATATTTTGTGGGTTTTTTTTGCAGAATAATTTTAGATTCAGATGCAACATCAATAGTACAGAAAGTATCATTACGAACAGATGATCTTAATATAGGTGAACAGACTATGGCACAAGTAAGTTAGCCCCTGAGTTACCTCCCTTGCACCATGTGCTAGGTTTTTGTCATACATCATAAGGTGTTTGTTCATGCATGTATGCATTGCTAAGGGTTGCATCACTTACTAATTGGAATATGGTTTTAATATTATTTTGAGAACAAATCTATAAATAATATATATTAATATGAATTTATCCAAGCAGTGGATAGTTGAATTATTTAACTTCAACTATCCATTTGTGAATTGTGTAATTATAAATTTCTATTTATATTGAAATTTTGGTTTTGTTGAAATATGAAATCAACTTAAACATTTTTATTCTAAGAATGGTAATACTTTCACAAAAAAGCAAAATAGAAGAATATAAATTGTTATGCATGAATTTTAACAAATGACAGCTTGTCTAATGCACTTGATGTCTATAATTGATTTATCCTTCACTGTTGTACGACTTACACATGCTTATGGGGAGTTGATTCAGTTTCATATTGTATTGTTTTAGATACCTTTTAGATTGAGGTAACTTTTGTGAAATGTCATAAAATAAAATATAGGTTACAGTGCTTCTTTTTGAGAAAAATGAGGTTCAAAAAATGAAATTTTTGTAATTTTATTGAAATTGTCTTTCACCTTTAATAGTTTCTAAAACTGGTATTTTTAGTAATCGATCAGTCAAATTGGGTTTTATTTAAAAGCTTAGATAAGTATGCATCAATCAAAATTAAATTACTTGTAAGTAGTGTTGTTTAATTTAAAAAAAATATAATCGAATTGTCATATTATATGCAAAAATAAGTTAAAAGTAAGTATTACCATACTTATTTTTAAGAAAACTGTAAATTCTGTATCTGAAAGTGCTTCCCCGATGGCATCTCATACTTTGTGGAAATCCCTTTGGAAAAGTTTAAGATAATGTCATACCATCAATTATAGATAAAGAGTGAAAAGATAAAAATTATGGCAAAAACAAGTATTTTGACTACTGTTTCATTTCCAAATGACAACACAAATTTTTTGTATCTTGTTTGTTGGGTACTTCTGCACAATAATTCAGATTTGAAGTCCTTTAAAAAGATTCCATTATTACAATGTCATCATAAACCAACCAGTAAAACAGGACCTTGAATGTTTATTATAGCGTTAATTATTATTTCCCCTGAAACTGTATCAACTCCCTTAAATTTCCTTTCAACTATCATTTATGCTTGTGTGTTATTTGATAACAAATTTAATATTTAATCTGTGTTTACTTAAAGCACTTATCTAAAAAATTAGAGGTAAGATGACACGTATTGGTACTTGGTGTGTATTCATGAGGGAAATACTGTGAAAATCTTTTGTTGCCATAGTAACAGTTGTGAAAATTACTGTAATTTGGAAAAATGTTGGGAAGTTCACAGTTCTATAAAATCATGTATTAGTATTTTGAACACTTTTCTTTATAAACAAATCTGGGTTTTGTAATGAATTTGAAGTAATTAGCTAAGTTATCAGAAGAATGAGCCACATCTATGACATAATCAACCAAATTGTTGTTATTTTTTGGCAGCAAGGAGCCTATAAGATGTCAAATAAAGAAACTTACAAATACATAATAATTTTGCATGCAACTACATTTTAACTTTATTGGCATATTTTAGAAATTAGAGATTACCAAGGGCTGTATAAACCACTTTTGATCCATACATATATATTTGTTTTGTTTTTTTACCGTTCAATAGTCAATGTTTGACTTAGCACATTTTTGAATATAATATTAAAAGTAGATCTTTGATTTGTGATGAAAATATCAACATGTCATGCAAATGGTTTTTTTTTACAAAAAAGAAAACTACTATGTAGCTCAACCATTTATATTTTGTAATGAGGTCAGAACATGTTTGCTTGCCCCTTACTCCTTGGCAGAAAAAAATAGGGCATTTAGGTAAAATATATTTATTTAAAAAATACTTTACCTGGATTATATAGGGAAATGTCCAGAACCTTAATGGTGCTTAACCAAAAACTTACATAACATTTGTTAGAGTAGATCTGAAAATTAAGGATAGGTAGGAAGGCAGAAAACAAAAGTTTTTTTGTTTGCCTTATTATTAAAATTGTTGTCTGAACAAAAGTGGAAAAATATTTTAAAATATGTTTTCTTCTATATATAAAAATAGGGAGCTGTGGTATGATTCCCAATGAGACAACGATCCACCAGAGTTCAAATAACGTAGATATAAGCAATTACATGTATATTTTTCTATCACATATAGAGATGCTGTTGTTTTTTGTTCAAAATTAAATGATATCTGTACTTAGTAGCACAACTGTTATTCTGGTAACACAAAAGATTTTACAGTAGCTAGCCTGGGATATCTTAGGGCTTAGAATTCATCTTTCATAATTAAAAAAAGTTTGTAATGATTTATCTTACATAATGAATAAATCCAATATGATTTGAAATGTTTATATTAATAAGTATGGTGGAATTATGCATGCCTGACAGTGTCCTTGCTAAAGAGGGATGCAGCTCCTTATGACTTTATATACCTTCCCTGCATAGTTTTGTTTTCTGTTAAAAAATACATACATCTCAATGAAAACAATCATTTTAACTTCTGGATTTTATTTTTTTAAACCGAACAATACCAAATAAATCAAACAAACATACAATGACATTTTTAGGCAAAAATGAAATGTCTAGCCTGCACCACTTACACAGTCTACCTGAATTGACCTTCAGAGTTCAAAGATACATTTATTGTCTGCAATGTAATGTTCATATTAAGATAGTTATTTGTCAATTTTTGTTGGCGTTGAGTTGGGACATGAGTTAATAGGTAGTGCTTGCTCCAAAGTATATATTACTGGTCCTAAAAAGATGTTTTTAAAAGTGTATATCAGTAGTAGGTGTCTTGGTAGGCTCCAATATTGTTTATTTATGTGGCATGTTTATTATGTATGGTGTCATAGGTTCTATAATGGTATTTGTTTTTGCTTCAGGGGAAACTATTGATTTGCTTTCAAATACTTCTTTAATCAAGAAATATTGCTAACCTCAATTGTTCAAATTTATTGCTTCACCATGTACTGGTCTTTATGGTTTAAAAGCTTGAGTTATTTCCCTTTAACCACTTTTCCATTTGTTTATGTTTAGGTTCTACAGAGTGCCAAGGAACAGATCAAGTGGTCATTACTGAAGTGAGGACATTTACCATTTATTTATTCTAATTGGGAAAGGAAGAGAGAATGTGATATACTTGTGGACCACCATTTTGGGAAGATACTTTGAAATGACTTTGTTTTTATGACAGGCATTTTTTTCACCATTTCAAATGTATTTCACAGCTAATTGAAAATGTGCATATACATTACCATAGATGGTTCATTACATCAACATTCATTTTAATCTAAATGCATTGAAATGTTTTCATTGTTATTGTTAAAAATCATGCGCGAAAGAAATTAAATTTGAAAAGGTTTTTTTTTATCAAACAAGCTCTAGGAAAGTCACAGAAGAACTGAATAACTTTATACTCACATAGTTCAGCAGAAGTTTCTTACTTGTTCTCTTTTATTGAAGAAAATACATTCATACTTGGATGCAAGGTTTTGGTGGATTGAAATTTTGTTCTCATGAAACTGATTGACTTTGACAAGTTTAAAAGGTTGATTACATTGTCTCAACAAGGGCTGTTTAAAATGTTCTTCTTTAAAATCTTTGTGTCAGATTGAACTTTTGATTTATTATATGTAAATATTTCATCAAAGTTCAAGGCAATACATGTTTTTTTAACAATAATCAAACTTTTGGTTGCTTCATCAAAATATGATAAAGTCACGAAAAAAATATATTTCATATTACAGTGAAACTTGTGTAAACTAAATGACATTTGAACTGAAGAATTTATTCAGAGTAGACTTGTTTGGATTACATAGGTTAAGCTACCCTACAATATTTACTGTATGTCCTGGTTCAAGTTAGACAGGTTTCCAGTTTACTCTGACACACACAGTTTTCACTATACTTTAGAAGAAAATGGCTACTGCCAAATAAGATGAATCTAAAATAGTCACATTTTTTTTCCATTGAACAGTCTAGATGACTAGATGAGTAGTTTAAAAATTGAATAACTACTAAAACTTTTCTTTACAAAAGAGATATCAATGACCATTTTCATGATTAAACTGTTTTATTTATTTATATATGATGTCAAATGTTTTTATGAACATGTAGAAAAGTCAATAAATAAATATATGTGTACTATGCAGGGCTTTGTTCATTTTACATGTTTATTCTATTAACTAAGGCTTTGCTAAGGAATTTTCTCAAAAGGAAAATACCTGGTACTAGATGTTTCAGAAGGGTTTCATATCCTGCCGAAGTTAAAAAAAGATATTGAGTCAAATTAAGAGGACATGAAGAAACACTTGATGAGATATATGTTCCAATTGAAAGGTTTTTTCTCAATGTCAAGCATCTGATATTTGTATAGCAAAATCTGATAGTCCATAAATGAGTTTTTATCAGTGTTGCCGAAGTCAAAAGCAGGTCTAGTAACTGCTCGACTCCGTCCGTCTCTCTGTCTGTCCAAAAGACCTTGGGTAGGAAACTTTCGTCAAAGTGTCTTTTTGGCTTCTATGAAAGGGAATGATTTAATATTTGGTCTGCAGCTTGATAATGTTGAGTTGTAGCCAGTAAGCCATTTTTTTCCGCTGTGTAGCCACTTTCTGTGTGCCGATTGTTTGAAATTTGAAAACAATCATTATACAAGGAAAATTTTGGTCAAAGTTTTCTTATGCTTACAAGAAAGGGATAAATGATCAGTTAAGCTCCAGTATACATGTTACCTCTATCATTTACATGCAGTGACACAGGTCTAGACCCGGTATTGGTCTTGTTAGTTGTTGATTTTGATGATGGAAACAAAAGCTCTTCTTTATAAATATAACAGCCAACTGGAAGAAAACTTACAGGTAATAAATCAGAGTCAAACTCATCAACTTCTGGTCAAGCATTATAATCGGTGTCACAAGATGATTGAATATTTGATTTCCCAATATTCTTAGTTTCAAGTTTAATTGATGGTTATCAACAAACTCATGCTTTTATAATTAAAATTTTGCAGTAGCCATATTGACATTTAGATTTGGAAAACTTAGTGAAGAGTTCTTGACATTGTTCTTCTGTAATAGAAGTTTTTTGTAGTCATTTCATGTTGAAACAGGTAGAAAATTTGTTTTTTCACTAGAAAGGATATGTTTGGGGGTTATTCTTAAATTATTGGTTTTTTGGGGTATACCTATGGAGTGGTCAGTTTGGTTTAATTTTATTAGAATAAGTCCTGAAACATTACTGATCCATTACTGACTTGCAAGAGAATAATTCAACATCATTTAGATCCATATGAATGTAACCTTTGATTTGACCTTAGTTGGAGATGATCGTGCATATGCTCAGCAAGATCAGGTAATGAAAAGAAATTCAATTGAAAAAGTGAAACTATGATTGAATAGGAATATCAGTGCTGTTGACTGTTTAGACCTGCAAAAATATCCTAAAATAAAAATTATAAATCACCAAGGTTGGAAAAGGTTATATCAAGAAAAACATTATTATATATTTTTAAATAAAGCATGAAAGAAAAATTGGGTCACCATTGTTTTTGCTTGATTTAATATGGAAAAAAGTAATAATGGAAATCAATTTACTGTACATTCCTTTACAAAATTATTATTTGATTTATCTCCCTTAATAAGGTGAAGTTTAATTATTTTTTTAATCATTCCAAAAATATTCTGTTGCAACAAAAACAATCGTAGTCATAAGGTAAAATTATATAATATTATTCATTTAAATGAAAAGTCTTACAATTGATTACATTCATTGTCTCAAAATTTGCTTATTTAAAAAAAATTATATCCGATTGTAATTCTGTAATTTTAAGAAAGATTACAGAAGAACCTTAAGTACATATTATTTTTAATGATAGCACTAATAAAAAATTCTGATATATGTTACAATAAAATCTGTGTCAATATGGGATTATGTTTGTTCTCACTTTAAAGTTATTTATGTAATTTTCTCTTGCTAAGAATAAAGGAGGGTCTGAATTTGTATGTATGTGTGTGTGTGTGTGTGTGGGGGGGGGCTTAATTTTTTTGTTCTTAAATTTTTTACTATTTTGCACAATATTCTCTTTTTTTTTATATAATTTAGTACCCCATTATTCTCCATTCTTTTTTTTTTTATGCTCCCGCCGTAGCAGAGGGAACATTAAGTTTTACCCTTGTCCGTCTGTACGTACGTCCGTACGTCCCAAAATTGGTTTCCGTTCTCTAACTTAAGTTTGCCTCAACCAAATGTTATGAAACTTATACACAATGCTTATTACCACAAAACACAGATCAAGTTTGAATGTTGGTGGCATCACTTTTACCGTTCTAGAGTTATGCCCCTTTACAAATGGAAAAATTGCTAAATTTTTCGTTTCCGTTCTCTAACTTTAGTTTGCCTCGACCAAATGTTATGAAAATTATACAACATTCCCCATTTATTTTGCATATTTTTCTCTATTCTGCACTTTTTGCCAATTATTCTCTATTCTGTTAACCCCATCCAGACTCTAATAAAGATATATCTGATGCTCAAAAACCTTATTTTGCAAGCTTTGTTTGAACAGAATTACAATATTCGTAAATTTTCCTACATATTCTTATATAAGCATTAAAATGCAATTAACATTATATAGCAGTCAGTAATTCTGTTTTTGTCAAGAGATATTTGGCAAAATCCTATTGCTCTCCCTTTCTTAACACAAAAGCAACAGAAATACATATGAAAGATCAATTTCCCCTGAAGACCTTGTATTAGACTGGGATACAATGAATAGAGACGTGATAATGTCTATAAGGAGTCAACTGATGATATTTGTAATTTGACTTATTTGTAGTTCTGGTCCTACTTATTATTTTAGCTTTTAAATGTTTTATATGTTTATTATAGTTTTCCAAGTACAATGTAATAGGCAAACACAGGATAAAAATTCGTTATTTAATGGCGATAACTACTATAAGGAGTGAAATGACGATTTCTGTAATAGACTTATTTGTACATCATGTTCTACTGGTCAATATTCCTATAAAAGTTTATATCTGTCTATTATAGTTTTCAAGATAATATGTAAAAATGGTAGAAATCGTCATTAAAGGGCGATTACTGCAATAAGGAACCAACTGACGATATCAGCCTTGCATACTTATTTGTAAATCTTTTCTTGCTGATGATTGTTATGCCCCACCTAGGGGCATTATTTTTTTCGGTCTATGCGTCCGTTCGTCTGTCCGTCCGTCCGTCCGTCCGTTTGTCCAACAAATATTTTCGTCAGATTCCGACTTCCTGTTTTTCGATACCTTTAATTTTGTCAATATGTTTGGTCAGCAGCTTGACAGTGACGAGTTGTAAAGTGTGTGCGCTTTTCAGATCTGTCAGAGACATTTTATTCCTGTTTTCCGGTACTTTAAATTACGAATTGGGGTATGCCTAGGACGACATTGCTTGCATTCTTGTCATAGTTGTAAAAACAACGTATTTGTCTTCTGGCATCCTAAGTATTTTACAGAGGGGTGCCCATTAAATACCAGAATCAGTGCTATATATTAATCCTTAAAATACAAGACAATAATGGGACAAAGCAGCTAGATCTATCTGTTTATAGTTTTGTGATTCCATTAAGAGTTGAGTCGTCTTTGTGGAAATTTTTCATAGTTTGTCTAAAACAGGATTTTTCGCTGTGGTGTTGGCGCTTATCCATTGTTGAAGACTATATTGTAACCGATGAATATATTTTTGTAAAATTCTGATGTCTATTTGCTGTTAAAGGCTGCATTATTAAAACAGCATGCAACTCAATCCTGAGAATTCACAATCTCACAATTGCAACTTATTGATGAAGACTTTCTAGAAGAGTCGAGATTCAGAACAAAATAAGAGGGCTGTAAATCTGATTTTCAGTTTTGTAATTTTCCTAACATTTAAAGAAATTGTTGTCTCATCTAATGCCAAGCTAGAGCCCTTCTAATCCTTACTGGCATTTATTGTACAAAACTCTTCAATTTAGACTATTTCACTGTTATATGTAAGAGTTTTCAGGTCCGTCCCTGAGAATTGAAATTTTTATTCAAAACAATTTAAGACTCACAAACACCATCAATAATCAACAGAAGTGATTAAAACAGAACCTAACAAAATAATGAAAAATAAGATATGAATATTTTTATTCTTGTAAAAAGTAGCCGGAGAAGGTAGAATAATGCTGACCATAAATCTTTTGTACTCCATATACTCTGTGTTTTATAAAAACACGATCCCCTTTCTTTAGATCAAGTATTGAACTTACACTCTGGGAATCATAGTCTTGGTTACCAACATACCCATTGGTGTAAACTGAATTATTTTTCATTAGTTCGTACTGTACCCTGTTGGATTTCTCTCCAAGGAGCATGCATGATATCTGATATAGTCCACTACTCGTTGCAGTAAATACTCCAGTGGAAGGGTTATACCCATTACCCCTGTTTATCCTGACGTCATCGAACTTTACTACATCATGTATTCCATTAAGAGTAAATGGGTGCGTTTTCAGAGATGCAAAAAATACAGGTCTATCTTTATGAGCTGCAAAATATGAAGGAGCCTAAATTGGTATCATAAAATAACAAATTTAACAGAATATTCATAAACCAAAATCAAAATTGCTTAAAAAAAGCAAAGTAGTGTTATGACTTGGTGGTGATCGCCATGAACACAATGCGCTGCAAGGTGAAAAATGCATAATTTACAAGGTTTTCAAGAATTTTTAGGGTTTCTTTTGCCGATGAATGGGGTGTGTAGTGCGCCTTTCATTACTAATTCATTGTCTATAAACCAACTCAACCCTTATAGCATTCCCATTGAATAACATATTAAGTAGTAGTTTAAGACGGTATAATAACGATAAATTTGCGATTTGGTTAAAATTACCTTTTTGTCATATGGGTTCGCAAAAAATGGAAGTATCCGATACTACCTTTGCCAGGTGTCAAGAGTTTTAAAAAGGTTTCGGAGACTGCTACCATTCCATGAAAAATTGCTTTCAAACGTTTGAATTGTCGCATTCGGTGCATTTCATGCGAGACAAAGAAACATTTGCGAAAAACAGTTACTGCAGAAGTGATAACAGTGTTTCTTATATATACCAGGCTCGGAGTCTTTGCAGTTTCTCTCATCATCGATCTCATAAAGTCTTCGGATACACAAATCTTCTTGTCTAAAACATAATAAGATAAATATTAAAAAAAAAGAAATCATTTAATGCACAGACAAAATCAAATCTCTAAATGAAAAAGATGTAACAAAGGCTATAACACGGATGTTTGAATCAAATATTTGTAAAGGATTTCCATCATCATGCATTCTTTGTAATCGATTTTAAACATGTTACAAATATTAAAATGTGCGCTTCCGCTAGCGCTACGCAATGCAGTGTAGCAAATCGCTTATTCCAAATCAACTGGGTGGCTGATGGTTTAAATGATATAGAGAGTTGAAACATATTTACCATTGTCGTTTGATGTCACCTTTCCAAACTGACCACATATACTAATACACAGTATAAAATAGATAGATACCATTTTGATGTTAACCAGGAACACCTTCATAACCTGATGAAGTTGATTTAAGAATTTATATATTCAAATAACATTAAAATGAAACCATACACCTAAAATGACCTTTTTGGTTGCACGCAACACAGTAACGGATTGCTTCATTGTATTAAATTACAAGTATCAAAAATTGTGGTAGTCTTTACTATCTGAAAAATACGGAAATAAATTTTACGCTATGACAGATTTTGAAAATAGCAATATCACAATGATTTTTTTAAATTTGTTTAATTGGACGATGCCCTTTACCTCTAAAGGAGATAAAACCCGAGGCGAAACAAATCATTATAAGTGGTACGTTGACGAAAAATAAGTTTGATACAAAATAATTTCCAAAAAATATCAGCATTATCGAAATGAATTTCCTAAGTGAAATCGTAACTTCACCAATGCATCAAATCACATGTTTTCGTAGACATTTTTTCAATTCTAAAGGTAAAATGGAAGTGTTTTTGTTTTTCCCCTTTATGTGATAAACCAAATGTAGATGTGTTACAAAATACGTTAAAAAGTACATAGTAACAATATCTTTATAAGATCCAAATTGAATGTTCTCACAGCTTTAAAAATTCAGAATTAACATAAAAATAAATTGCTCATGATTATTTCATAGAAATAAAAATCTCATTTCCATTGGAACCCAAAACTTTGTGCAGTTTTCTGCCTATATTCTGGTACTTAATTTAAAATCGCGATTAATGGTACTAGCAACTATGTTTTTAATGAAGTTATTTGACATTTTATATCAACCGGAAGTATTTGCTGATTACCTTAATCAAAGAAAATTTCTTCGAAACGTAATATTGTTTTAGATTCATTGTTAAAAGTAACCGAATGTTACTTTGTATACAATATGCCAAAAAGTTAAAGCTTTCCCATGATAGAACATAAATCCTGTTTTCTCAGCGAGCCTGATATTGTTTTTCTTTCAATAGTAACTTTAATATATTGAAAAGACCATAAATAGATTTATATCAAAGGAGTTCGTAATGCTTTTGATTTAGTTTTTAACGTTGGATTTTGTTCTCTTTCAGTTTTAATGTCTGTGTTGTCTTTGCCATTAAAAGATTTGTTTATCCTTTGTTAAAAAAAACACTTTTCATTCAAAACTTTACATTCGATCAAGATATCACTCGAATAATGTACATGTACATATGTTTTTATGTGGTGATGTGACCGGTTGTTGAGGGTTATCAAGAGACTGATAACAATCCGCACTGGACTTTGGGCAAGCAACTATCAATCAATCATAACAATCGGTTATTGTAAGCCTAATCACTGGAAATGACCCATTAATGATTTTTAACAAGAGTAACACCAATGTGGACGTCACAGGTGGAACAAGACTGGCTGACCCTTCCGGATCACTTGGTTTTACTCACGCTATTTAGGTGGGTATTCATGCTACTCATTCATTAGTTTCTTGGTAGTGTATTATAGACTGCCCTTTATCTTATCGTTGCTTTTTCTTGAACTTTAAACCAGGGTGTTGTCAGTTTTTTATTTGATTAATGGTTTTTGATTGCACCCATGTTATCTTCTCCCTCTTTTCGTGATAGCTATATATACTCTGCTTTAGTTGGACGTCAAAATGATCTTCTCAATAGTGCATTTATTTAGAAATGATATATATGTCTCGCATAGAAGATTCAATATATGCTCTATTATTTTATCAATGAATATTATCAAACTGATTAAAATAACTATTTAGAAAAAAAAACAACACCATTTCTTTTTAGAATTTTCATGATAAAAATTTCTTTTGGAGGTCATATAAACACTGTAACTCTACATTTTTTGTATATCAACTGAGACTACTATAACACATTATATGTGTTATAGTAGTATCAGTTTATATTGATATTAACGTATTTTTGATCGAATGACAAACGGGAGTAACTTTGACTTGATATTCTATAACTTATCTAAGTCTTCAAAGATTTAAAATACTCAAAGAAAACAAGAAGTTTACGACGGTCTAGGTAATTATATTTTTCTTATAATGTAATAGATTGTTATACTTGTTGTGCTAAGTAATATTGTTAGATTTGAAAAAAAAAATGTGTGTTGTGTCCAGTTTTCGCCCACTTTCTCTGTTGATGATAACATTTCCTTATTTACAAGACATATTATTTGTAAAGCTTCAGTATTTGTCTACAGACATCAGAAGTATCCAAATGGATAACATTGGGATGCCAGTATTAAGATCTAAATTCCAAAAAACATCATCAACACTATATAGAAAAAAAACCAAAACAAACAAACAGTAACTATTTTATTTATTCTTGTAAAAAGTAAGCAGAGAAAGTAGAGTGATGACCGCCCACAATTTGCTGAGCTCCATTTACTCTGTGTTTTATATAAACACGGTCACCTTTCTTTAGGTCCAGTATTGCACTTACAGTCTGTGATTCAAAGCCATGGTTACTGACATGACCAAAGATGTAAATTGAATCATTTTTCATCAGACCGAACTGTACAAGGTTTGCTTTCATTCCAAGAAGCATGCATGCTATGTGATATAGTCCACTTCTCGGTGCGGTAAAGACGCCATTGGAAGGATTATATCCACCACCCCTGTTAATCTTGACGTCATCGAACGTGATTACATCATTTACTCCATTAAGAGTAAACGGGTGCTTTTTCATGGATGCAAAAAATACAGGTCTGTTTTTATGGGCTGCAAAATATAATGAAGCGTTAATCAAATAATAAATATTACGGACTTTTCACGAGCCAAAATCAAAATTAATTGCAGAAATATGAGCGCGGAGTAGGCTTTGAGTAGGCGGCGCTCGCCTTGAACGTCGTACAGTGCAAGACAAAAAAATGTTATAATTTTGCAATTTTGCCGATTAAGGCGGATGTCACGATGCACATTTCGTTAGTCCGACCCTGTCTTTCACACAATTTAACCCTTGTAGCATTTATATACTATCTAGTATTGAATAACTTAAACGGTAGTAGTTTTAGAGCATGTCATAACGTTAAACCTGCGTTAATGAAACACATGACTATCTCGTCTGTAATATAGAGGCGAACGATACCAAAGATACACTCAAAGTCATAAATCGAAAATAAACTGACAACGCCATGGCTAAAAAAGAAAAAAGACAACCAGACAAAACAATAGTACACAAACTCAGCATTGTAAACTAAAGATTGAGCAACACGAACCCCACCAAAAACTGGGGGCGATCTCAGGTGCTCCGGAAGGGTAAGCAGATCCTGCTTCATATGTGGCACCCGCCGTGTTGCTCATGTTAGTACAAACCCGGTAAGAAGTCTAATTCGGTAGTTCGATCACATTCAGGGAAAAGCGGACGGGATTGTAGTTACATTTGGATCATACATAATCTTACATATAATAGTAACCGATAGGCCAGAGGTCAAAGATGGATAATAAACGAAAAAAGACACAGCTTAGGTGTCAGAGTTTTAAATAAAATTCGGTGACTGCTTTCATCCTATGACTATATTGCTTTGAAACATATTAAATGTCTCATTCAGGGCATATCAGTAGAGAATGGGAAGCACTTGTAGAACAAAGTTACTACAGAAGTGATAACAGTGTTTCTTACCAGGCTCGGAGTTTTTGCAGTTTTCTTTCATCAGCGATCTCATAAAGTCTTCGGAGACACAAATATTCTTGCCTGTAACATTACAAAATAGTATATATGAAAAGAAATCATTAAATTCACATTCAGACAAAAGCAAATCACAAAATATAACCAAACAGGAACAACGGCTATAGCATGGATGTTTAGATTTGATATTTAAAGAAATATTACTCATTATATATATTTTCACTTCTTTAATTCGAGCTATAAAATGTTTTGAAAGAAGAAAACAATAAAGAAAGCAAAGTTCAAACAGACATTTGTATTATTGTATGAAAAAAAGTTCCCAGTAGCAATGTATAGCACTAAATAACATACTTATTTTGTGGATATATGTAGAATTGCTGGATTTTTATTAAAGAAATGTATGTAGATTTTATAAAATTTCCATTCAAGACTCCGAATGACGTGGATTGAAGAAATTATTGGTCACCGTACGGTCTTCAACCATGAGTAAAACCCATACCTCTTTATTGAAAAACACTTAGAATGTAGAACGGGAAACCAAAAAAGAATTGCATAAATAATGATATAAATGAATCTCCATCAAGTTGATAAGTGAAGGTATTTTCAAGTATGCAGTTTCATGACTCTACCTTTCCAGTAAATAGTTACAAAGAAAATAAATATTCAGTAAAAGTCTAGTTGAGAGTCGTTGGCATTCTAAGTGGATGAGTTTAGCTATAACAAGATGTTTTAGAAATATTTAGAATTACCATCAACATACCGACAATTGGTTTCTCGCGTGCAAATGAAATTAACACTTAAAATATATTTCTTGCGTCCGATGCGCTTTTTTCTGAATTACTCGTTTGAAAGGTTCGATTTCCAATATTGCACCATATACTGCGACCTCGTATTAAAATTTAAAACCACTTACTAGTACATGTGGTGTGAAGTTTGCGGTTCAGTGCGCAATAAAGTGTAGCATACCACACATACCAATCAAATAGGGGGCTCTGTGGAGGAGTTGTCTAAGTAGTCGAACTACTATATAATTAGTCGTTCAACACCGAGGTTGTGAGTTTGATTCCGGCACGTTACTGTCGTGGCAGGTGTGTTCGACTCTAATATTAATTGACTAGGATTATCATTTTTGTTACCGAAGGTCGGTTGTTCTCACTGGGCACGCCGGCTTCCTCCACCAATAAAAACTGCCTCTAAAAGATAGCACAATAGTGCTGAAAGTGGCGTTAATCACCAATCAATCAAACCAATCAAATAAAATGGCTGACTGTAGATACTAAATTGGTGGTTTAAATGTTATAAAGTTTAATTATACTAACCATTGTCGTTTGATTTCGCTTTTCCGAACTGACTGCCGATAGCAATAAGCAGTAAGAAATAGATGAATACCATTTTTGATTTTAACCAGGAAAACCTACAATAACGTATCCAGATTCCGTTTACTTAAGAATATATATATGTTTAAATAACATTAAAATGAAACCATACACTTTAAATGACCTTTATTGTTGCATGCAACATAGTAACAGATATATTGAAATACAAGTATTCGAAATTAACAATTTACAAAAAATGAAAAATTGCAACGTTTTCTGTAAATGTATTTCATTGGTCAAAGACCAAATCAGTACGTAATTATCTAAAGGATTTATCGCATTGCATGGAACAAATCACAAAGTGGTCCGTTAAAGAAACTATGCAAATATTCGATTCATATCAAATTGCATAAACGATAAGCATATACCGAAACTAATCTCTTAAGGGTGATCAGAACTTCACTTATGCATCAGTTTAACTGTTTTTCTTGAACATTTTTCAATGTTCTATGCATTATGGAAGTGTTTTTCAATGTTCTATGCATTATGGAAGTGTTTTTCAATGTTCTATGCATTATGGAAGTGTTTTTCAATGTTCTATGCATTATGGAAGTGTTTTCTATTGATAATAGTTTCTTCTAAACCGATAGTAGATATATTGTCAATTGATTTATAGAAAAGTACTCAGCGACCATGTCATTTTGAGATTCAGTTTTGACTGCTTCGAAACGCCACCGAAGGAAACTAAGCATAAACCAAACAATGTTTTTATAATGATTTTATGGAAAAGAGCTATCCTCTCTTTTCGGTTAAAAAACAGATACTTATGACAGTGTTATGCCTATATGGTACCCTGTACCAAATCAAAAGTAACCTTTTTTCATTGCAAGGTAATTGATATCTTTACCTTTTTTTGACAATTTTCTTATATCAACCCTGATCAAAGAAAACTACCTACAACATTTTTAGACTCATTGTTAAAAGAAACTGAATGTTATTTTGCACAGATATGACGAAAGGTCAAAATTTCCACCAAAAAGAATACTATCGTCTAAACGAGTCATGTAGTGTTTTTAAGATAATGCTTTATCGGGAAGACAATTTTATAGTTTCATTTCAAAGTGTTTTCAGTGTTGTATTTTGTGCTATTTTATTTTTCAATATCCTTGTCTTAACCGTTGAAAGTATTGTTTATCCTTTGTTCCTTACATAAGCGCTGGTTTCTTTCAAACTTTTACCTTCGGTCAAGTGTTAAGTTTCAGAATTATAAGTACCAATCATGAATGGTTTTTGAATTTGGTGATGTCACCTTTCGATGAGAGTAAGACGGGAGACATTTTTAATCCACTATTGTAAGATGCCTAATCAACAGATATGGCTCATCAATGTAGATTAACAAGAGTAACAACACTGGTAATGTCATGAGGGGTAATAAGAACTTCTGATCCATTCGGAACACCTGTGTCATCCCCGTTTTTTGCTTAGTTTTTAGTTTTTTGTGTAGTGTTATGTGGGCTGTCGTTTGTATTTTTAACGGTTTTTATTTTGGCCATGGTATTGTCTGTTTAATTGGACTGGTGATTTTTTATGGTGTTATGTGGACTGTCGTTTGTATTTTTAACGGTTTTCATTTTGGCCATGGTATTGTCTGTTTAATTGGACTGGTGATTTTTTTTTTGCACCCATTGTATCTTCTCCGTCTTTTCTTATGATAACCATAATGACAGTGTTCGATTCTAACCATAATGTCAATTTTTCATATAATGCATTTATCATAAAAACGCTCCAAAAAAATAACCTTTTACAAACTTTTTACACAGGTTGTCTCCGGCTGTAGATGCACAGACTGGTTCTAAATCGGACAAAATGGGTTTGTGCTCATGCAAAGCATGATCATTCGAAAGTGATATAGGCGTTCAATCAATCTGTAAGTTAAAATTAACTATTGATGTCAAAAGTTTTTAGTTTAACGAAAGAGTAAATATAATTAAATGATTTGAAAAAAAACATTAAAACAGATAAATTTGCCCTTTCCGCTAGCTCTTTATTGCCAATGAAAATGTTTTCCCTTCTAAGGGCATCAACTCGTACAATCGAATCTCTATATACACCGTCAGGGTCATTTATAGAATTGGCAAATAGACTATTGGAATGTGTTGTTACTGTTCATTCTCATCATCATTTTTAGAAAATCCTCTGATTCACATATCGTCATATCTGCAAAAAAAAATAAGATCCTCGACAACATTTCTGTACGTTTCGGCAATACAGTTTATCGACAAGTTGTAGGTATTCCTATGGGCGCCGATTGTGCCCCTTTAATAGCAGACTTGTTACTGTACTGTTGTGAATCACAGTTTATGGCCAAACTCAGTAAAGACCCGTCTTAATTCGATGTTCTTGATAATTTCAACAACACTTACCGTTATCTTGATGATATTTTTTCGTTAAATAATCAAGAATTCTCTAAATATACCGCCGAAATTTACCGAAAGAAACCTTAAATAAATCAAATATTAACAGCAATAACTGTCCTTTTTAAGCTTTAGATATTTCAGTTTTACACGAGAAACTCTACACAAACATTTACGACAAAAGGGTCGACTCTTCTTTCCCTATTGTTAATTTTCTTTTTTTGGACGATAATGTTCCTTTGGCACCGTCTTACGATGTTTATATATCCTAACACGTTCGCTATACCCGTGTCTGTAGTGATATTTTGGATTTCAATGGCCAGAACAGAATCTATGCATTACTGGTAAGTTATTGAGTCAAGGATTTCGTTATCACAAATTAGTTAAAACCTTGAATTCTTCCCTGGATACAAAGATTTAGTTTGCAAGTTTGGCCGTACCTGTAGAAAACTTATTTCAAACGGAATAGCACATCCTAATTTTTACGGGAATGTTGTTTACCGAGCCCAGAAATTTAGATATGATCCGGGTAAACTCATCAATCCTTTGAATAAACTTATTTTAAAAGGTTACCAATTCAACACTGTAATTAGATCTTTAAATATTGTTTCAGTGTTATAAATATTGATTTTGTTAGCAGTAAATTAAAACAATACTAAATATTGTTGTTATACACATTCACGCTACTAAAATCTGTCGATACCTATATTTTGGCATTGTACAAGGTCATGTTTTTCTCTGACTGTTAGTGACGTCTTCACACTAAATCCATTGTATGTTGGATGTGTACTGATTTATATATTAGTCTAAGATACATGATTTTTCATTAGTTATTATTGGCTTTGAACTTGCTGTCGGTAACTGCGAGTACTCTCAGATCTTTATTTAGTGTCTTTTTGTGCCCCGCGTAACGCGTTGCGGGGGACATGGAAATACCGAGCGTCCGTCCGTCCTTCCCCTCTTGTTAGCGCTCTCACGGGTACAATTCTTGCCAGATTTTTATAAAACTTATTCTATAGATATCAGCAATATCTCGGAAAAATTTATCATGGTGGCCGATCGACTTTTTTTAAAAGAGTTATGCCCCTTGGAAATATTAAATTTATGAAAAATGGCCTAGTTAGCACTCTCACGGGTACAATTCTTGCCAGATTTTTATAAAACTTATACTATAGGTTAATATCAGCAATATCTCGGGCAAGTTCTATAATGGTGGACGATCGACTTTTTTTTAAAGAGTTATGCCCCTTGGAAATTTAAAATATGTGCAACGCGGGGGACATTGGAACTCTGTTCTTTTATTTATTGTTGGATGTATAGATACGGTGCCACGTCCGGTCTGTGTTTTCGTTAGATGTTTTGTATCGATGTGATGAGTTCAGCCCTTTTCAACTGATTTGTGTCTCGCCTGCGACGAAAGTCTCGGAAAGCAAGACATGGGGATTGCTTTTCCGGCGACGGCGATAGCTGCGGCGACGGCTGCGATGACGGCGTCAACAATTGTTAAGTTTTTTGCTTAGGTTAGTTTGATAGGAACTACTCGTGATAGATTATTGATATTTTGTATGAAGATGCATTACTATCAGTATATATCAGTTTGACGACAATTGTGAGGCCCTGCCGCCTAGGCCAGGGTCCAGTGACTTTGAATTAATTAGCAATTTTAAATGTTAAGTTTTCTGCTTAAGTTAGATTGATAGGAACTACTTGTGATAGATCAATGATATTTTGTATGAAGTTGCATTACTATCAGTACATATTAGTTTGACAACTATTTTGAGGCCCTGCTCCCTAGGCCAGGGTCCAGTGACTTTAAATTAATTAACCATTTTAAATGTTAAGTTTTCTGCTTAAGTTAGTTTGATATGAACTACTTGTGATAGATTATTGATATTTTGTATGAAGTTGCATTGCTATCCGTACATATCAGTTTGACGACTATTTTGAGGCCCTGCCCCTGGGCCGTGGTTCAGTGACTTTCAATTAATTAGCAATTTTCAATGATAAACTTTCTGCTTAAGTTAGTTTGATATGAAATACTTGCGATAGATCAAAGATATTTTCTATAACGTTGCATTACTATCAGTACATATCAGTTTGACAACTATTTTAAGGCCCTGTCCCCTAGGTATGGTCCAGTAACTTTCAATCAATTAACAATTTTCAATGTTAAGTTTTATGATTAAGTTAGTTTGATAGGAACTACTTACAATAGACAATATTTTCTAAAAAGTTACATGGTGTCTGTGCATCTCAGTTTGGCAACCATTTCGAAGCCCTATCCGCTAGTAGGTCCAGCGACTTTGAATTAATTAGTAATGTTGCTGTCCATCAGATTGTCTTTTTCTGAATTTTATGCCGACAGGCGAGACATATCTCTGTGTCACAGTTTATTATAGTTTGTGATTGTGTTGTACTGTTACACCACTATCCCGGATTAGGCCGAAGGGTTTGGCGCCAGCAATCTAGTTTAACCCCGCCACATTCAATATGTGCCTGTCAAAAGTCAGGAGCCTGTTGTTCAGTGGTTGTCGTTGGTTCATATCTTTCATATTTGTTTTTCGTAAATTGTTTTGTTATAAATTATGCCGTTAGTTTTCATTATTGAATTGTTTCATATTTTTCATGAGGTATAGTCGGCCTTTTATAACCGACTATACGGTATGG